AGTAGAGAATTCAGATCCCCATTCGAAGCCGTATGCATTTATGTGAATGGTCTATAAAAGCACACACACTTCTTAACCTAGTAGAGAAAATTCAAGCATAGGATCGGATCATCATAATAACTCTTCATTATCTTTGAACAAGCATGTGTAGATTATTATAATTATTTTATACGAGGGATATTGAGGGAGGGTGAAATCGAATCTAGGACTTTGAGTGTAAGAGTAAATGCTCTTAACCGCTTGGTCTACAAACCCCTTGATGTGTAGATTAATTTTAGTTGGTGTTTAAGCCTTAAACTTTGAGAAATTATACATTTTTACCATCTTATCCCCCCCAATTTGGAGAGGACAAACTCCATACCTTAACAATAGAGTGCATTTATTGCTAAACCAACAAGTCATTTTAAAAAAAAATGACGACATTAATTAAAAATGGAGTTTTTTTTTTGTTGTTGAGAAATTCTGGGATTGCATTTATAATTCAGCCAAAAAAGCTACTAGCTACAAAGCCACAAATGACCATTATAATAACAGAGTGATCTAACATGAAAATTAAGACAGTCTAGTGCACCTCTACTAACGATCACACATGATTGCAGAAACTCTAGTATAGGCATCCTAACTAAGATTGCAAACTCATAATAATAAAAAAGATATAAAGTTTGAAAAAACCAAGACATAACAATACAAACAAGGACAGGCTGGAGTGGGCTCCAGCCTAGGGCAAGATTTAAAAATATTGGACTTTGTTACAAATTTTACAAGATGTCCCTACTTCCACAAATATTAGCCTATGCCTCCTTGTCACATGTCGTCTCTTGTGTCCCATAGTGCGGTTTTTTGTTTTTTAATCTAATAAACCAATCAAATTTTGGCTACTTTCTCAACTCTCTCTTCTTCTACTTTTTTTGTTCTCTCTCTACTTCATTTTTTTTTCTTCTTCTTTGTATTCAGCTTATTTTCTCTTATGCTTCGATCTCTTCCTCTCTTTGTGTGAATCACAACTTCTCCCCCTCTATCTCTCTCTTCCTCTCATCGCTCCTTCTCTCACTGACTCTCTCAACTCTCCCTCTCCTTCTCCCTCTCCCTATCTCTCCCTCTATCCCAACTCTCTCTCTTTCTCTCTCTCTCTCTCTCTCTCATAGAGAAGCGGATGCAGAGTGAAGAAATCCTCTCACAGTGATAAGATTTAGGTTATTGTTGTTAAATTTTGTGGGTTTTATTAAATTTTAACTTTTATTGTTGGGTTTTTAAGATTTTGGATTTGGTTCTTAAATTTTGGGGATTTTTTTTCCTATGTTATTTGAAAGAAATTTTTTTGTTTTAGAGAAGGAGAAAGGGTTTGTTTTAGATTATTTATTTATTTTAAATGTTATTATTATTATTATTATTATTTTATTATTATTTTATATTTTACTTGGAGTCCCCAAAAGCCAAGAAAAATATTAGCCTACCCCTGACAAAATTCCTGGGTCTATCCTTGAATACAAATAAAACTCTCAAAAATGAGAGATAAAAAGCTCTCACAAAAGAGAGGTGAAAAACTCTCACAAAATGAGAGGTGAAAACTACACACAGAAGAAATCGTAAAAAGAATGGTAATAGAGATTCGACATTGAAACACAGAGAAAAATAAAGTAAAATGTCATATTCAACTCCATAGGTGAAGGAGCCCAACACCAATGTGGTGGAGCATATAGGCATCATACTTAATTTTTGGCTCCTCCATATTTTTTTATTTTTACTACAAGTGATATTAGGAGAGGGGGATTACATGACCTCGGATGCAGGTACAACTACTCTTAAGCACTTGAAATATAATCCCCTTGCTTGACTCCTCTATTTGACTCCACCAAATCGAGGTAGAAATATTATTATTATTATATTCTTTTGATTCCATACTATTCACATACTCCATGGTCATCGACATTTTTGACTCCTCTCCCTTATTCATGCTATTACTATTTCTATCTTCCACTCCACTACTAGTATAGAGTGGCAGTATGAAACTATGGCATGATAAGACCTTTTTTCCTTATAGGATAATATATTTTCTTCGATGATTCGAAGTATTGTAGAATGACAGTATAAAACTATGGCAATGATAAGACCTTTTTTCCTTATAGGATAAAATATTTTCTTCAATTATTTGAATTATTGTAGAATGGCAGTATGAAACTATGGCAATGATGAGACCTTTTTTCCTTATAGAACAATATATTTTCTTCGATGATTTTAAGTATTGTAAAATGACAATTTTTATATATATGCAAAAATAATTCATCAAAAATTTTAAATTTTTTTTGCACACATGTCAAACTGTAACCAGTAGGAAAACAAAAGTTTCTGCTTCTATGAAAATGAGGCAAGCATTTCCCTCCTAGAAACTAGGATAAATCCCCCTTTTTGTGTGCAATATCAAATATCAAAATATGCATGGCCTCAAATTTGAAGTAGTCAAAATTCAGAAAGCGAATCATCACGTTCATGTAGCCGTTACTGTTCCCACTCTCAAAAAGTTCAAAAACCCAAAAAAGTCAAAACCCGAAAGTTAAAAATATTAAAATTAAAATTAAAAACCAGTTAGACAAATTAGAGAATTAGACAAAAACACGCTAAGCCGACCCCACACCAATAAACTGTCACTCCATTCCCGCGAAATTATCAACTCCCACTTTACCCCCGTACCTCTCCACGCGCTCGCCTCGCCAGTTCGCATCAAATCCCAACCGGAACCAAGCCCTCGCTCATATCTCCGGCGAATCCCAAACACCCGGCGAGGTAACATGCCGGAATATGACGTCAGCGAATCACTCGCGGGGAGTGCGCAGGTTAAGGAAAGAGTCGCAGAGCGATCCACCTGGTGCGCACATTAGCAGTGGGTGGGATATTATAGTGGGAGGAGGATGAGGATTACGACGCTCTCTTTCATCTTCTCTGTAGTCTTTGACACACTCTCTCTCTCTCTCTCTCTCTCTCTCTCTCTCTCTCTCTCTCACATTCAGAAAAATACAAATTTTATTTTCTATAAAATTTTTTTGTATAAAATTAGAAATTAATGGATTAAAAAAAGGGAGAGGAAAATGGTCAATAATTGTAATTGGGAATTTATTAATATCTTAATGAAAGATTAGAAAAGGGACTAGGAAGTTTGAAAGTTGTCTATTAAGCTGTCGTGTTCTCTCACTCGATTCTTCTGCGAGATGATGGGACTTGCAGTGAGAGATAGGGTTTCCATTGCTACTCTGCAGAAGGCTTGGTCTCCCTGCTTCCTCTGCTTCAATTTAGAGCGGGAAAAGTAGACTTGACTTCCTCAGACTGGCCTTTCAAAGGTTCACTTTCTGTTTTTGCTCTCTTTTTTTTTTCCCTCAAATTTCATTTTGGGCATGTTTGGTTTCCGAGAAAAGAAAGCAGAAGAAAGAAAAAGGAAGTCTGAGTTTTGTTTTTTTTTTTTTTTTTTTTTGTTTTTTTCAGTTTTTTTTGTTTTGATAAAGATGCTGCAGCTCTTTTTTTTGTTATTTTTTTTTATGGGGTCGAAAATGAAGATGCTGCAGCTTGGCTTAAGAAAGTAGAAGTTTTTCTTATCTCAGTCCTCTGTTACATAGTTTTGCTCTGTTATTGTTATGATTGGTTGCCAATACTGTTTTGGGCTCTCATGGGTTTGATGAAGAAAGTAAGAAAAGGATTCTCAGTTTTCATCTGTATTTATGTGGCTGATAAGAGGAGCTGAGTATCTTGTACTAAAAACTTTTACTGTATAGTTGATAAGCAACAAGTACAAAATCCATGTCAAACTTTTACTGATTAAAGGAACTGAGAGTCTTTGGTGGTTAGGCTTTTTGGAACCCTGCAAAGTTCTAAACTTGGCTTGTAGTTACTTTTTTTTTTTCTTTATGAGAAATTCAGCATGACAAGGTGAAAGGTACCGATCATTTCGTAAATTCCCCCCCCCAACTTCTGTGTTTTCTTCATCTTTTTGTTGTAGCTGTGTACATAATGAAAGGTGCTACTTTTCTGTGATCAGTATGTACTTTGGTAACTTCAAAAGTTGTGGGCTTGGTGCTAGCTTTTACAGGACACCATTGAAATTTTACCCGATTGCTTATCTGGATATTCAAGTTATGCTATGATGGAACTTAGAGTCTTATTTTCTGAAAAATTGGAACTCTAGAAAACCAAGAACATGCTCAGTTCATTCAGTATTGTGTCTGAAAATGTGTCCTTCCTGTTCTTGTTCTTCCATCTCTTTTATTTCTGTTCTCTATGTTGATGTGCATCTAGGTTCATAACTTTTGATACTGGACTGGTATTAAATGAGGGTATGCGATAGTTGTTGGGCTTCGATTTCTTCAGAGTTTAGGAGTTCTCTCTCTGCAGTTTTTATCAAATTGGAATGTGGCTGTATTTTAGTATTGTATTGCTCTTTGCTGGTGTTCTTTTGTATTTTAGGTTGTTGGTGCTGTTTTAGAGCACTCTAGATTTTTGCTCCAGTCCGTCTTGTCTACTGTTTTTACCTTTCATTCTCCTCTTCAATTATATTTTGTTTCCTATTTTCAATTATATATAAAAATAATCATTACACTTCTCATGCCTTGGTTTTCACTTCCCTTCCTATCTCTGTTGCTACTATATTAACATTGCGCTAGTTGATATGAATTTTGTTCAAATATTGGCCTTTTTACCCCAACTGCGAGTCTTACTCTAATTGGGATCATAACAAGGAGATTTCAAATGTTTCTACTGTTGGTGCAAGGACGGAATTGAGGCTGGTTTTATATAAATTTTACAATTATGTTTTTCGTAATTGCTGTATTTTATTTGTTTAATTGGACTGCATATAAAAGTAGACCATTTGTTTTGGATTTCAGTTTTTGCATATTGATTGACATTACAGAAATATGGTTATCCTACTTCTCTCTCTGGAAATTCTTCTAGGTTCTACATCACATGCTTTTATGTCAAAAGTTCATTGGATTCCTTCCATTGTCAGTTGAAGAAACATGAATTCTCCATCCACCCAGTTTGTCACCTCAAGAAGGATGGGGGCCTATGAGCCTATCCACCAGATTAGCATGTGGGAGGAAAGCTTTAAGAGTAATGGTAATTTTAATGCCTCAGCATCCATGATCGTTGATGCTGACACAAAACTAGATAATCAGGTGAGTATTTGATATTAATTGTTTTGGTTCTTGTTTCTTGGAGTGACATTAATCCATTTTCTGTGAATTGTGTTATCATTTAAATTTATCTAGTCAGAGGATGCTTCTCATGGAATCCTGGGACCTTCTAGCAAGTATGACCAAGAAGCAACTAAACCTACAGACAAGGTAAGAGAAATTGAGCTTCTGCATCACTCGCCTGGTGATCTCTTTCTTTCTTTAGCAAAACATAAGGCTAATCGTACTGACATACAAACCTTGGTTGAAAAATTGAAATTTCACCACTGGCGCTATCGCTTCTGACTTTCTAAAACTAATAACCTAGTATTTTGACCAACTGTGAAATTGCTTCTTACAAATGGCTGATGAATATTGTATACAACACATAGAAATTCATTTCCAAATATGTCCACTTGATATACTTTGTCACAGCATGTCATTTTCTTATTGGGTGTAGTAAAGGAGTAATACAGATTCAGGGATCTCTGTAGTAAAGAAGTATAGTTCAAGGGTGGGGATCCTTTTTTATTTTCATCCTTGTTCTATTACTGTTCATGATTTCAGACATTAGTCATGAATGGAGATTGAGATTTGTGAAATACTAGTTGAGATTGTAACGTTCATTGATATGTATGGTTAAATCAGGAAAACAGGTCTATGGAGTTCAAATGGGTAAATGTTGTGGACTTTTTTCTTTTTGAAGAAATTGTTTACTACTGTAAACTTCTCTATAATTTATTTTTCCTTGGGATTTGGGTGCTAGACCTTAGCTTCTTGTCTAATTTCGTTTATCAAAGTTGATTTTGGTTTGGCCACCTTTTAAATTGTGTAAACTAGATAGAATATTTTAGTACAAACCTCAAGTCTGAGGCTTGGTTTTGAGGTATAGATTAAAACAAAAAAGTAGAGGTTAGTTACTGCTCACATGCCTACTTTATGGCTCTTATTAGATTTAAAATATTATTTGTGAATCATATGGTTACTTTTGGAGTGGATTTAAATAACTGGGGATTGGTCATGTTCACTTAGCAATTTATGACTGAAATTTATGTTTGTGAACTAAAGATTTACTGTATTCTTCCAGATGCATTTTGTAGTAATTCATTTTAGGAGTTCAATGGTGCGAACTTTCAAACCAGTGTCTTATACTTTGGTTATGTGTTAAACTATTTAGGTGCAAAGACGTCTTGCACAAAATCGGGAGGCTGCTCGTAAAAGCCGGATGCGAAAGAAGGTAGGAAGTGGTATGCATTTGAAAATATATCATATATGCAACTAGTGATGTATATGGACTAATATGATGACTTTTCCTATACAGGCCTATGTTCAGCAGTTAGAAACAAGTCGTTTGAAGCTTATTCAATTAGAGCAAGAGCTTGACCGAGCAAGACAACAGGTCAGGAGAAGATTAGCTTTTCTACAATTTATTACTAGATTCAATAGAAAAGAAAAAAATTATAACTTCTCTTCTTGTAATTTATAGCAGGGTATTTATATTGGCAGTGGACTGGATGCTAGTCCTCTAGGATTCTCGGGCACTATAAACTCAGGTTTGTTTGTTAGTGTGCTTCTGCCATATCTTTGATTTTATCTTGTCAATCTAGAATGTTGATATGTATTATAGGGTTGCATATGAAACTTGGAGTGGTCAGCAGCTTAAGCAATTTATTGATTCTATGCAATAAAATGCCACATCTTGTTGGAATTTTCTTTCCTTTTCATCCCTTCTGGTTATGAGTTTTTGTTGGTATTGTGATGATGAGAATGGATAAGTGCTCCATTCTTCAACATCAAGTGTCTGTGCAAAAGGCTATAAAGTCTATGCATTGTTAATAATGGAAAATTGTGGACGTGTCCACCACATACAACAAAGAAGGCATATAATTCCCTATGAGCCAGCCATCAATAATACAAAAAATGGTGATGGAAACTATTTAACTGCACGCTCAATCTACAAGAATAATAGAAAGTGATAATTTCCGAAACTCGGGACAACCTGAAGCCTGAAGGGAAGTCCAGACTCTTACTCTATCCAAAAGGTGTGTGTATATATATATATATATATATATATATATATATATATATACAGGGACACATTCATGCTTCCTGTAAAAACAAAGCTCTCTAGAAGGTTTACCTTGGCGTCTTTCAAAACATCATAATCTCTAATGTTTGGATGCTTCTTTATATATCTTTATGCGTATGTTTCCTCTGGTACATTATTTTATTGTATCATGACTTCTTTTTTTTCATGTCCTTGTAATATAAAATTTGAAACTCCAAGTTATGCAGGTGTAACAACATTTGAGATGGAGTATGGACACTGGGTGGAAGAACAAAATAGGCAAATTAATGAACTGAGGACTGCTTTGCATGCTCATATAAGTGATATAGAGCTTCGATTCCTTGTGGATAGTGGCATGAGTCACTATTTTGAACTTTTCAGCATGAAATTAACTGCCGCAAAAGCTGATGTATTCTATGTGATGTCTGGGATGTGGAAAACATCAGCTGAACGGTTTTTCTCATGGATTGGAGGGTTCCGCCCTTCAGAGATTCTTAAGGTAATGTATGGTGTGTTAGAAGTCATTAATTGAAGATAATGCATTTTTTGTTCCCGAGACTTGCGCGTTGCAGTAGAACTTGTAGGATATTAGAGTTATTCTTTAAAACCGAATCACCAATTATAGGATGAAGGGGAATGAGAATTGGTTCATTTTAATATAATATTTTTGATGAATTTTAAATGAAAAGTGTTGACTGTACCAGCAGTGCAGCATAGTTTCCATTTCGGGCCAATATATATTTTTTTTTTCCTTTTTCTCGTTGAGAATGTGGAAACTTGGAGGCAGATCATCCATTACGGTTTTGATATCTTTGCAAACTGATGTATTTAGTGGCACACTATTATACTTTAAACGACCTCATTTGGCATATTCTTTCAGCAATAAGTTCCATACGTGAGTTTAGGGTAAAGATAGTTCTTATATTTGCGTTGATTACAGGTTCTTCAGCCTCACCTTGACCCCTTGACAGACCAACAAGTTTTGGATGTTTACAATCTTAGGCAATCATGTCAACAAGCAGAAGATGCTCTTTCGCAAGGTATGGATAAACTCCAGCTCACTCTGGCTGACACTGTGGCAGCTGGTCAACTGGGTGAAGGTAGTTATGTGCCACAGATGGCTAATGCCATGCAGAAATTGGAAGAGCTCGTGAGCTTTGTGCAACAGGTAATATACTGCATGTATCCATAGACCTGTTGGATGGTTTTGTTCCAAACTTCGACTCAAGTGTGTTTTATATCTAATCTTGCAAAACTGTCTGTTTAAATGTTGGAAATGTTGGTGCTTTCTATAGGCTTTAATTTGTAAATGTAGGTGCCATGAATTATTTTCGGCTTTATCAAAAGTGAAGTCATTTAGATTTCATATTACAAATGGAATGAGTGGGATATAACTTTGTCAGTGAATGAAGAAAACATTTATGCCCCTGTTTCCTGTGGTTATAATCTACAGCTTGTAAACTTTGACTAGGGCCATCTTGGTGTTGTTTATTTTTAACAAAATCTGAGTTTAAAAAAAAAAAAAAAAAAAAAAAAAAAAAAATTTTAATAAATAAGTAAAAAAAAAAGACAATTTTTTTAACATTCGACTAGAAAGAGAAACACAAAGTCAAAAGGAAACCCTTAATTAATCTCTTACATCTCTCATGTCTCGATCGAAGCTGAAAAAATGAATCTTTTGAATTATTGGGTAGGTAAGATAGTACAGACTGACTTGTATTTTTATGAATGGATTAACTAAAGATAGAGGAACAGTTTTGTTGGAAATTTCACTGACACGGTGAATTTGTGATATTAACTTAATGAAAAAATAGGGTTAGAACTACTCAGCTATTTGGTAATGTACAGCTTCCACCAGGACAAGGCAGAAAGTAATCACATAATGAGTTCTATGTTAACGGGTGAACAAAAAGTTTTGGGGTGCATTTCATTACATCCGAATGCTCTTGCCTGAGATTTTCATCTTACGTGAATCATTGTGATATTTTTGTTTTTGTAGTATTTGGTGTTAACTTTATGTTATTTTCCTTGTAATGTTAGTTCTGTGTTAGTTTTCTTAACATTTCAAGGACATGTTTTCTGACTAAATGATCTTTTTACCCAAACAGGCTGATAATCTTCGGCGGGGGACCTTACAGCAGATGTCATGCATCCTAACAATCCGCCAGGCAGCTCGCGGCCTTCTTGCCTTGGGGGAGTACTTCCAACGCCTTCGGGCTTTGAGCTCGCTCTGGGCTACTCGTCCTCGTGAGCCTGCCTAATCTTAACACGAAGTGCATACATTCCCAAGCTCAATATTCAACAAGATAATCATCAGCAGAAAAGAATCATGCATCTACAACCACAGGTCCCTTTGGTAATGTTGTTCCATGCATATATGTAGACATAATTGAAGCTGCTGACATTTTTCAAGCAGCATCCCATGTTTTGAGAAGCTGTAAATATGGGTAACCATTTTGTCTGCAGGAAGTTTGTAAATATATTATTCTCAATGTTTTTGTATATTATTTTGTCTTAGAAAATATTTCTTTAGCACTTACATTTTGAGTCTACCTACGGAACTGTATCATGTAAATGTTTGTTTGAGGGTTTCTCTGTATTTCAAATGGGTCAGGTACATTTGTAGTGAGGGTATCATTGTGCTTTGAAGATGGAAAAGTTAAAATAAGACATTTTGGCATGTATGGGATATGCTCTTTCAGGTCTGTCTTTGAACTTTTCACAGAGCACTGCAGACTTCAACGAATATAGTTTTTACTTATTACAATCAGAGCTGTGAGCTGAGCTCCTGTTATAGAATCACTGCAATATTTTACCAGAAGTGGCATGGAAGCTGACTGCCGGAGCTTGCTATATGCATGTTTCGGCTGCAAGGCTGTCTTCGACTCGATGAACACAATCTTTGCTGCGAGCCAACTCCCAACTGTGTCATTGCTAAATTTATCAGATTGAGCTTACTTTTTCATGCTGCGCTTTTATGTGAGATAAAATTTTTGGAAGTTGTAAAATGACATCCTTTACATCCGTCAAGACTATATAGAGGCCGCTTAAGTTATAATCGTAGGGGTTACTTATAATTATTTATAACTTTAGCTGTAAGAATTGAAAAGCTATTTGGAATGTAATTTTAACAACCCTCTTTGGATCATGAGGTTTGTGAGTGTTGAAAATAACCTACGCACCACTGACAATTTTTCTTTCTTATTTACAGAATGTTGGTTGGCTCTCTATTCAACACTTTTCCACTTTGAGGTGACATTTTGGAGGAAGAAAAACCAGAACTCAAAAACATTCTCATGTAGGTAGTCCCTCTTCCACGTGAGTGTTGGAGTACTTGAATTGCAAATATGAACTTGATAAACCAAAATTCAAAGTTGTGATGTTTCTCTCCCCTCCTACCCACGCCCAAAAAAAAGAGAAAAATGGTTATCTCGCTCTCTTAATGGCCTCTAATGATAAGGTAGCGGAATCCATTTTGGTGCATAGATTGGCGTCCTCACTCGTCGTACATGGATCGATTTCATCCAACGGTTGCTAGACACCTTCGGGGAGATGACCAAGCTGATATTTCTCATGTAAAATGAGCACAAACTCTAGGAATTTAACTTTACATTATTGAAAGTTCTGTACAATCCACAATATCATTTGGTTCTTCATGTATTAGCCCTCACAACTTTGACATGGAGTAGTCCAAAGCATCGACAAGAAAATCTGCAGACATAAAAGTTTAACCTAAGTATGTATCTCAACCGGAAAAACACAACCCAAAAACAGTTATTTCATCTGTTATACGTCACCACATGCGCACATCCAAATGCACGCTCACAGTAAATATGCATATCAACCATTCATGTGTAACAGCTGAAAAACATGTCTTCATTGAAGGACCTTCTTCGGGACAGAAGTTATGGACCTTATTAGAAAATATTATATATATATATATATATATATTTTTTTTTGGTCATTCGCTAGGGAGGGAGAGGGGGGGAGTATTATATTGAGTTGCCTCAAGATTGTCTTCTACGTGAATCGAACCCGGCTGCACTTGGAGCGGGGAGGGGGAAAATAATTATTATATTCACATGTATAAATAATGTGTGTGTGTGTGTGTGTGTATGTTGTGTTGATTTAGCTGTTGTCTCTCAGCTCATAGAATGCTTTCCAGCTACCATTTGGGCTAATTCATACCAAGCCTAAGACATAAAAAGTACCTGCATCATCTTTGGTAAAACACATCGGTGGCTTTATCCTAAAAACATTTCCATGTAGTCCCCCTTTGCCAACTAGAACTCCGAGCTCTTCAATCAATAACCAAATTATGATTAGTATGTAGAAAGGAATTCATGGAGATAAATGTAATTTAACTTAGGATCATTGAAATAATTTATACTATGAGCTGGGAAAGTGTGTTGATACCTCTGAGTTTCTCGAACAAAACTGAGGTTTCTGTCTTCGCAGGCTTCTTCTCTTTCCTGTCAGTGACAAGCTCTATTCCCACCATTAAGCCTCGGCCTCTGACATCTCCAATGACTGACACAGAATATAATATATAAGAACACTTGCGGTAATATTTGACAGATTCAGAGACCAAAGTACGGCACCAGAAAGAGGAGCGCCAAATTGCAAACAATCAGTTAGGACTGAACTGATCCTACAAGGCAGAGTATAAAGCGAGGTGATAGAATCAAGTCTAAGCACAATAAACTTAATGAGGTTAGCTAACTATATGTAGGGAAATTAAAGGAAAAGAGTAACTCCATCTTTTGGAATATAATGTTGGTGGAAGACAAACTTTCTGTCATTTTAAACATTTTTAAGTAGCGAATCATACCAAAAGGAGTATAGGTATCATGAGACAAACGTTAGAGTAGTTCTGTGTACTACTACAGAGTAAGCTTTGCTTACATTCAAAAATATAAAACTGGCTCAGCTGATTTCCCCATTAACAAAGGGCCATGACATGGGCTATAGACAAATATTTAAATTCCAGAGATACATGCATATAATAGAGAGAATTCTAAAGACATCGAGTTCAAAGGGTAGTTACTTTCATATCTTTGCTGAAGATCTCTCAAACGCCCAAGCAAGTGAGAGCCAACATCAGCGCAATGAACTTGACGCTTCTCTTTATCAATAACTCTGAGCACTGCAAGCCCTCCAGCAGAGCATACAGGGTTTCCACCAAAAGTGTTGAATTGAATCTTCTGGGCTAGTACACTTGCTATTTCTGGTGTTGTCACCACTGCTCCCAATGGCAACCCGTTTCCAATGCCCTGAAATTTTTTAACAAACGAATAAATTGGTATATAGTTCAGTAAATAAGTTATTGTGTTTCACAAAAATCAAAGTCATCTATAGGAAAAGGCTGGCAATGAAAATATGCAACACAACCATATACTACTGTTGTAACACCAAACCACACAAGTCAAACTTTTCCAAAATAAAATACAAACTATCAATTGATATTTAAAGACCTTAGCCATGGTAACTATATCAGGAATGACACCCTGCGTTTCAAAGCCCCAATAATGGCTTCCTGTGCGCCCAAACCCAGTTTGTACTTCATCAGCAATGCAGACACCACCAGCCTTGCGAACAATGTCATAAACCAGTTTTAAATATCCAGGTGCCAATTCAACTGCTCCTCCAACTCCCTACAGTTAGATAATGTGAAAAAAAAATTTTTGATTAAGTATCAGATTCCTAAGCACTGGGCGTTTTATGTATCAATTTAAAGCCGCATCTGAAACAACATTCAGTACCAACCTGAATTGTTTCAGATATAAATCCAGCAACTTTTCCTGAAGTTCCATAAGCAATGTGATCTTGTACATCTTTAGCATAACTTTTGGCATCCGAGCCAAAGATTCCATGGTATGGATCTGGATTTACAACATGATGAATTTCACCCTGCAATGATAAAGCAAGTAGTAAGTAGAACATATAGAGAAGTTGGTGTCTCAATAGTGTTCATGTATGATTATTGTATAACTTTATATTGGTGACACTGAAAGAATAGTAATGAGCCAAAGACTGAAGACTCGGCAAGGGTATGAATTGATCAATGTGCGTTGCATATGCATGCTTTGCTATGTTAGAATGAGTTACAAACAATCTCATCATAGAGTAGAAAGTTTGCGATGATAGGACATTATCTATAGTGAACTTCCTACCATGTGTATTTATAACTACTATTAATCATAATGGAAAAAAATAACTTCATTAAATTTAGTCTTATTAACATTTTTTTAGAACTTTTATTTTGAGAATATTGTGCCTGCAAAAGCATAAATTATGTCAGAAAGATGAGAAACAATTCTTCCATAACCCTGGTTTACCTTAAGAGACCAAATTGAACAGCATAGACGCATATCACAGGTAACATATGTTGGAACACTAATAATTTACATGTGATTGTAATTAAAATGTGATAAACTGGTTAACGGATCACCTTGCCTACCTCTCTGGAATTGGAACTCTGGTTCTCCTCACTTTCTCTATAAAAGTAATGACATATCAAATTTGGATGTATTCTAAACATAGCATGCCAGAAGATGGATCTTTGGAGCTATACTGACTACTGATTGTACAAACCTGTGGAATTGGATACTTCCAAGTGTTCAAAGCGGTCAAACCAATTGTATTAGAACTCCCCCCATGATATGCATTTCTCAACGAAATCATATCAAGACTACCACTATATAGACGAGCCATCAACATTGCTAATTCATTTGCTTCTGTCCCAGAATTCACAAAGTAAACAACCTGCATTTTACAACTGTTTATTCAGTAGTTGGCAAGTGAAAAAAAAACAGGTGATAAATGAAGCACATAAAATGGATTACACAACAGTCCCAGAAGTCTACTGTCCTTACAGTAATTGAGAAGTATCTCAAGTTTTGAAACCAGATAAACCATAACACTGTTGCTCTATTCAGTACTATTACTTAACATTTCAAAGGGAAGGCTAAAATATAATAGCTTACGCAGCCCGTAATTAAACAAAGATATAATTGTCTACCATTAAGAAAAAATAAAATTTAGTGTCAGAAATTGTCTGGAAATCTAGTTTGAAGAACTTGAACCTTTAAATTTCCAGGCATTTTTGAAGCTAATGCCTCGGCAAAATCAGCTATTGCATGGTGCAGGTAAATGGTTGTGGCATGCTGCAGAAGCTTGCTCTGCTCCATGATAGCATTTAAAACTTCTGGATGGCAATGTCCACAAGAAACAGTTACTATCCCAGCAAAAGCATCAAGGTAGCGCCTGCCATTCTCATCAAACAAATATTGCATCTTCCCTTCAACAATATTGAGCTGTTTACACAACGATAAATAAAACAAAGAAATCAGTTCTGCATAAACTGTGTTAATATAACAGCGGACATCCGGTATCACAAAAGAAAATGCAACATCATACAGGCAAGGAGAGAATAATTTCTATTCACTAGCAAATGAACTGGTGGTCTTGAGCAAAGGCAATAAATCATATAGGAACACCCTTATGCCTTGGAACCAGAATTTTTCGACTATGAAATACATGCAACATAAGACTCTACCACAAAACTTGACTGTATAATTGCTCGGCGGCAAGCAGTTTTACCAATAATACAAGATTGAAAGAGTTTGGCTAAATGTCAAAAGTCACTCAAATTTCACTACTTATTGATTGGTGCATAGCAAGAGAAGCAACATGATTCTTTATTTTATCAGACAGCCATTGAAAAGCTTTTTTCAAACGATAAAACGAACCGGCCACAGAGAAAGTGCATAATTAATTCAAATGAACATGCATGTAACACAATATAAATGGGTCCTGAAATTCAAGGCCCCAAGTCTTGATTAAAAAAAAAATTGATACTTTGTTTTATATTATAGTCAGTTCCTTTTTAAATTTTCCCATGAAAATACTGTTTGATTAAATTTTCCTCTGGTTTCTCAGCAGCCAAACGGCCGGAGAGATTGAAGCCCAATGACAGAGAAACAAACAAGTTATCGCAAATGATTTCAACCAAAACAGAAAAATGCGGCATTTAATCCAAATGGTAAAAGAAAGTGTAGAGATAAACAAACATACAGGGTTCTGATAATAATGGAAAAGAGAAGGACCCAGAAACTTCTTTCGCTTCTGGAAGACCTCATTGCCCCGAGGTCCACTGTAAGGCTTTGGCTCGTAATCAAACGGCGGCAGCAAAGGCAGAGAAGCCTCATGATCAGCACCAGCACCAGCACCAGCAGCAGAAGAAGGCACCGTAGAGAAAGAACCGCAGAGAGACGGCCTGTGACGAAAATGGTAGCCACCAATCTTGGTCTTGGCTTCCCCTAGAGCTTTCTTTAAGAACTGCCTCTGCAATGCCATGGCTGATTCTCTAGGAGACCAAAAGGCAGAGAAAATGTTGGAGAAGAAGATGAAATGTGAAAACCGGTTTTCTGAGTTTCAGTGAGAAAGTGGATGTGTTAAACTGAATCCATGTGTGAATTTGTATTGTCAGGCAGTGTGTGTGATGACGTGGACTTCCAATATTTTGAGATTATCTGGATTTGTTTGGTTGTTGGTGAGGAGGAACAAGATTACAAGAATCAGCGTCGGCTAGTGTTGCGTGCTTCTGACTCAAAAGATTCCTTCATATGAGATACATATGATTCGCTTCACTCGCGGGGCATGTTTACTGATTAAGAACAGAGCAAGTCATAATCGAGAATGTTTACTTATCATAAATGAATTGAAGTTAGATCAACTATTCCCTAATTGATTTTATTTCTTTTTTATTTTTAATGCAAAAGGCAATAATGTTTTATTAATAAAGGAATAAGTAATAAATAAATAAAACTATATTCTAGAGATTAGACGAGTCTCTTTAAACATAAAGGTTTGATTGGACTAATTTTAGAGTCATTAAATTATGTATTTTAGTGTAATATCCACATCATTCTTTGGAATAATTTTAATACTATTAGCTAATAAACACATAAGCAGATATTAGAATTTATTCATGATAAGTAAATATGCAAACCTAAATTGTGTACATTGCTAATTTATTGGACTAAACTCAACACTTCAAAAGTTCTTGGTGATCAAGATCATGCTTTTTGGTTCCATCATGGTAATTATGATATAATAATATAATGCTTTAAAGCTGTCATTCAGTATATTATTAATAGACAATGAATTAGGTGAATATTCTATAGGCCCTACTTACCTTACCAGTCTTCGGTAATCAAGTCACAGCTATTTTTGAATTTAAAAAAGAAAAAAAAAGTGATGTTAAAGGAACTTTAAAATTAATTGATTACACCCACTACTAAAATATTTATTAAATTATTAATTTACCCTAATAAAATGATCAAAAAGAATATATGGAATTGTGAAACAAATATAATTTTAATAAGTACATCCTACTCACCATATTCAATCCTAATCAAATATAGAGAATTTTTCGTATAATTTAAAGGGTCTTTGATGCTTTAAAGGCTTAGAGCTTCTTACAAACACAGCAAAAGACAAGTGTTGGCATTTCTCCATGTACTTGATTCTTCCTGATGCAAAAGATGGGCAGCCATATTTGAATGAAAAAGTTTGTTTTGTCTGACTTCTTAGCTCAACATCATCCATACAATAAAGTTGAAGTGGATGACTTTAAAATCCTAGGGTGTTTAAACTTTTCTTCTGACTTAGAAGCATCCAAAATTCTCAAGGATTTCGAACTGGTGATGATGCATTTCACTACTAATTTGATAGAGATGTTTGAGTCCCCTCCACATATTTCAAAGAAAATCACAAGGATTTACAAGAATCAAGCTTTGAATTGAATGAGCTAGCAAATCTACTCCCACAACAACTTACGAAATTAAACTTTTCTTCTGACTTAGAAGCATCCAAAATTCTCAAGGATTTCGAACTGGTGATGATGCATTTCACTACTAATTTGATAGAGATGTTTGAGTCCCCTCCACATATTTCAAAGAAAATCACAAGGATTTACAAGAATCAAGCTTTGAATTGAATGAGCTAGCAAATCTACTCCCACAATAGCTTACGAAATTAAAGATTTTGATGCGAACCCAAAATCTAAAACGAGGGCACGAATTCATGTAAAAAGAGAAACCTGGTTTAGGATTGATATTAGGGTGTTGTGTGATAGAGTGTATTATGGTGTACAAGGGGTATTTTTGGTACTTAAATAAGGTGTACTTAGTTAATTTTATATTTTGATTAAAATATTATAATGTACTTAGATCATAGGGTGTACTCTATTAATTTTAGGGTTCGTTTAGCAATACTAAAAAAAGGTTGTAGAAATTTGATTTATTTTACTAAATCTCATTTCATGCTCATCATTGCTTTCAAAATTTACCTTATTAAAAATTTGACACTCTAAACGATGGGACAAATGGTTAAGCAAATCCTAGAAAACTTCAACATTTCAACAAGACAAAATTTACATTATGGAAACCTTCAAGGAAAAATGGCTTAATTTTTGACTCGTCCATTTGGAGATTTAAAATCTCGAGGTGACATATTAAAAAGAAAATGAGTGGTGCAAGTGGTTGCCAAATATGCATATGCAAATTATACCCTTGTGCAACATTTGGTAGAGAAGATGTAGATTAGGGCAGCATTTTTTCTTGCCAAGGATTGAAATATCGGCCGATACACCGATATATCGGCCGATATATCGATATTTTGAACTGTCGACACCGATATTGGGGGGTAAGGCCATATCTTCCCCGATATCGACGATATATCCCCGATATTTTGCCGATATTCCCGATATTTCCCAATACCCATAACAAAACCCAAAAAAATTCAAAAGTTTTAAAGCAAATTGAAATTGAAAAGATTTTTTGGAGGTATATGTGCAGTGATTAGATATATGTGTGAAGACTTTTGGCAATATTCAATTCAAAAGATGTTTTGGAGTATGCATGTTTTAGAGTATGCATCAAAAGAATCTAGACCTAGTACTAACTCAAATGAATCTTATGATGACTATGGTTATGTCATGTCTGATTATAATGGAACTAGATATGGAGCTCAAGATGATGAAACAGATTATGGACCTACTAGTTGAGTTAATCCTAACTATCCCATATATGGGAGGACAGTAGGGAGCTCAAGAGAGACATATGTGCACCATGTTCAAACATGGCTTACAAACTACTCGGGTTACATGACTTGGTATGATTATTGTATGAATTTAGATGGTTGTTCCACATTGTTTGAACCTCATAGGAGCTCTTCATTTATGTAGTTGGACACTCATCTAAATTGTAATCCAATGTTCAAATAAACTATGGATTTATGCATGGTTTATTCATTCTAATCAACTTTTTATTTTCAAACTTTTCATTAACGCGTATTACATACCACTTATATTTCATCATATATATATATATATTAGTAAATTTTGAGTTTTATTTGTTCAATACATTCATTGACAATGTACATAACATCTATGAAAGTTTTACACCAAAATTATGTGTTTCAATGCCTATATCTGTCATTTTTGTTGATTTTTTCCCGATACCCAAAACGATAACGATATATCCCTCGAAATATCCGTAAATTGGAGGCCCGATATTATCTGCACGGCCGATATTTTAATCCTTGATATATATTAGTAAATTTTGAGTTTTATTTGTTCAATACATTCATTGACAATGTACATAACATCTATGAAAGTTTTACACCAAAATTATGTGTTTCAATGCCTATATCTGTCATTTTGTTGATTTTTTTCCGATACCCAAAACGATAACAATATATCCCTCGAAATATCCGTAATTGGAGGCCCGATATTATCTGCATGGCCGATATTTTAATCCTTGTTTCTTGCCACGTGTATCATTATTATCATTCTCAACAGTGAACACATTAGGGGTGGCATTTTAGACTGAAAAACTGCAAAAACCAATAGAGATATTACCACGTTTGAATTGAATTGGCGAGAAAACCAACTGCAATTTGCGGTTTGAGGAACCGACCTGCAATTGCGGTTGCGGTTGTGGTTGGAAAATACCAAACTTGCGGTAACCGCAACCACAAACTGTTTTTAATTACTCATTCGTCTAACGGCTACGATCATACTTTTTTTTTTTTTTTTTTTTTTTTTTTTTTTTTTTTTTTTTTTTTTTTTTTTTTTTTTTTTTTTTTTTTTTTTTTTTTTTTTTTTTTTTTTTTTTTTTTTTTTTTTTTTTTTTTTTTTTTTTTTTTTTTTTTTTTTTTTTTTTTTTTTTTTTTTTTTTTTTTTTTTTTTTTTTTTTTTTTTTTTTTTTTTTTTTTTTTTTTTTTTTTTTTTTTTTTTTTTTTTTTTTTTTTTTTTTTTTTTTTTTTTTTTTTTTTTTTTTTTTTTTTTTTTTTTTTTTTTTTTTTTTTTTTTTTTTTTTTTTTTTTTTTTTTTTTTTTTTTTTTTTTTTTTTTTTTTTTTTTTTTTTTTTTTTTTTTTTTTTTTTTTTTTTTTTTTTTTTTTTTTTTTTTTTTTGTACACGTATTCTTATCCTCATTTGTGGCAGGATTTTCGTGTTTACAATGTTATCAGCCAAATTGATGAGGATAAGGTTGATGATGAGGTTGCACAAATTGGTGACGATGTTGATGTCACATTTCAATTAATGCAACAATTTGTGCAAAAAAGGAAGGATGAGCAACCTGTTAAGATATCCAATGAAGTGGATAAGTACTTGACGGATCCTTTTGAGAGCCCTTTGAGCAAACAATTCATCTCTTGAATTGGTGGAAAGGGAACCAAACAAGATATTCGATTCTTTCACAAATTGCCAAGGATATCTTTGCAATTCCAAGTTCTACGGTTGGTGGTGAAAATGTTGTTAGCCTAGGCAAGAGGATTGTGGATCCTTTTAGAACCTCCTTGCATCCTAAAATGGTAAAGGCATTAGTGTGTACTTGTGATTGGCTTAGGGCGGACAAATTTTCCTTTTATAAGGAACCCACGGATGATGAGGTTGAATTCTACAAGGAAATGGAACATATTACAACTTGTAAGTAATTAGTTTATATATGTTCATGTTATTTATGCTTTCTTCTTTTAATAAAATGTACTAAACTTGTGTTGTTTTATTTGTAGATAGCATTGGTGCTCATACATCGCAACCGGGTCCTTCAAATCCACTCACCACCACCAACACTTGAGTTCTCTTTTGGGTTTGTATTGGTGCCCATAAATTTGAATTGCATTTTTCTTTTGGTTTGTAACTTTAATTAATTTTGAATTGGATTTTTCCTTTGGGTTGTAACTTTAATTAATTTTTCTTTTAGGTTGTAACTTTAATTAAGTTTGCATTGCATTTTGCATTTTTCTTTTGGGTTGTAACTAAATTTTAACATTATTTTCTTGGGTTTAAATTTATTTCGTTAGGTTGTGAGTTTAATTGCTTAAATTTGTAAAGTATGCTTGAACTCAAAAGGCTTCAAAAAAAGCTTCAAAACTAGGCCTACAAAAGTATGGAAGATTGAATTTTTATGACACAAAAAGACCAAACATAAAAGACCTAAAATTGTGTAATTTAGGTCCAAAATATCCCAATTGGTTTAAACCGTTAATTCACGATAATCAACCGAAATTGCAGTTTTACCAAAATGCGGTTAACCGCAAAACACAATCGGTTTGCGGCTTCAAAAAAGACCGAACAACAAATAGTCGGTCGGTTTGCGGTTTGGCCAAAAAATCGCAATAATCGTACCGCAACCAGCATTAGAACACGTGTTCATGGACTTAACCATGGTTCGACGAATATAAAGCCAATAGTTAACTATAGTTATGTCTATAGACACATGTTAAGTATTGAGAATGATGGTCAAGGTCGGACCCAAGATTTCAAAATGGGGTGAGCAAAATTTACCTTGTATATAAACCTATTAAGTCCATCTCTAATGCTAGATAACTCAAACCCAAATTTTCCGATGTAAAATAGAACTATTCATGTATATCTCATACTCAACTTTATTAATTGTTTAAAAATGATTTAACTCTAAAATAATTTTATGTTTAATTTTTTCTTAATTTAATTTTAGTTTATATCATCGTAATTTATTTTTTAAAACATTTAACTTTATAAAAATTCAAATTTGGGAAACAAAATTTTGATTCATAAATGGTATAAGGAGATAAAAGATCACATTTATTATCTCTAAAAAAAAATATAACATTTATTACTTGTTTTATTTTTTGTTGGAGCTGATGTATTACTTGTTTCTTTATCTCAAAATTCTTTTTGATGTTATTGTTACAATATTAAAGCTGCGCAAGGAGTTGTGGTTTTAATTTAAACAAAAATTTGATGGGTAAATTTGGTTTTTTATTAAAGTTTTTTAAGGTTAATTGTTTCTCTACTCCCAAAACAAAATGTTCATCGTTTCACCAAGTCAACACACGGCTAAGGTCCATTTATATTGATTGGAACTTCGGGTAGGTGTGCGGCATTTGTTATTTTATACTATATAATAAATAAATAAAAAAGAATCGCCTGAGCTATAACCCATGTTAACCAAAGGGTCGGTCCGTCCCTGATGACGGTAAATGTACACATTCAGTTAAAGTGGTCATAAAAATATTTCTGTTGTAAAATGATTATTTACATTGTAATTAAACAAAGAATAAATTTATTTATTTATTGTCTGAAACAAAGAAGTAATTAAACATAGAAAATTAGGTGTTTTTTTCTTCTTATTTGCAGCACGTACCCTGTTTTTTTTTTCTTCCGAGTGGAATTCTATTAAGCAAATTTTCTTAGGTAGCTAATGACTCAGATTACATAAAAAATTTCTTCCAAAAATGTCTCATTATGATTAAGCTAGTTATTAGTACATGATGACCACATTAGTTATTTATCCTTTACAATTCGGTGGGTTAGTTTGACGCATACGGTGGAGTTTATAGCAATATTTTTATTTTTATTTTACTACTTGATCATTAGTTGTTTTAATTTCAAACTAATTCTGGTATATCCGTTGGGATTTTAATCAAAATTTCAGATTTTATAACTGTTCCTTGTTTGGAATTAACCTGGTAAAAGGGGTACGAATTCTTGCTTCCTATGATCTGTTCACTGTGTTCTTAATCCTTAAGAAAAGGCATGAATGTTGATTTCTCATCAATTCCTTTCCGCAAATCAAACGGGTCGAAGGGTGATTTGTGCATGGCTGACTTCCAATTCCATGTATTACTTTTGGGTTAGGCAGTCTATTACAAGAGATTAAGGGTCCACAGGCTGAAAAAGATTAGTCCCCTCAATACACCTTTTAATATTCAGTTACATATTTTTCCAGACAAAATTGCACAAGGCTAAACAAGAGAAATAAACTACACTGACCTGAAGTTACTATAGCATGAAGAAAACATTGTCCGTCAAAGCCACCATAGACAGGGCACGTGCAAGAGGAGGATAGGTGATTGGGGAATCACTTGGAACTGTAAAGGCACTGGTATGGAGCTCACGAACATTGCACATGAAAGATCCATTCTCTAACATGGATATGCATGAGCTGATTACAAACTACCCACATTTATCACTCAACTTTGATGATTTTTCTTTTCCGTAATGGCTCTTCAATGATGCTTCCTGGGGCGCTATGCGCCTTCCTCTTCTCGTGTTTCTTTCTTCGAGATTCAGTCATCTCACGCAATGTTGCAGCTGCCTTGTATACTGGTTTTGGTAGGTGCCTATGCCTGCAGAAGCATCATTCACAACGATTAACCATTTTATATGTCATATGCTACTCATTATTTGTTTCCACAAAAAAAAAAAAAAAAAAAAAATCATTATTAATGAGACTCTGAAATTAGCCATAAAAACTTTGTAGGGCACAACGATTAACCATTTGATATGTCATATGCTACTCACTATTTGTTTCCACGCAAAAAAATTAAAAAATAATTATTTAATGAAGAGGCTCTGAAATTAGCCATACAATCTTTGTAGGGTTCTGCAGAAACTGCATGCTATCCCTTAAATACGTAAGGTAATGCTTAGTTTAGGAACATCCAATGAATCAGGTTCACATGTTAAGATATAGGAACCGCTAATCTGCAAGCCCGACCTAAACTTATAACAAGTTGCAACCAGCTCATATTATTATTAGAGATTAATGTGGGAAAGATAGTAATAATTTCTAAAAAAAAAAAATTAAATTTAAAAAAAAAAAAAAAAAAAAAAAAAAAAAAAAAAAAGTGGTTTTATATATGGAAGTTTATCAAAAGGGCATCTTTCTATGCTTATTACATCTGCCCACAAAATCATCAAATACTCCCACAATCTTTCATAGGAAACATGCAAAGATGATAGATCTTGTAATATCTCAATAGGAAATATATTGACAATATTTACTTTCTTTTTTCTAAAACAAAAGAGCAAATTTAAGAGGCTAATTGCTGGCATCCTTTTATCATACCTCACAATACGCTTGACTTCAGGAAGGTGCTTGTAGCGATTCTTGACAGCCTCATTATACTCATGCTTTTTCTGTTCCCTTGGAAGAAGCTGCAGGTAACAAGTAGTTAAAAGTTTATAATAGGATGTCTAAAAGAAGGGATGTCGAAAAAGTCAACAGAAACCATTCAACTCGCAGTTACTAGTCTCTGTGTTTCAAGCCTACATTGGTTATAGTGTGCATGGTACCAATAAAATTCTATGGTCAAACCATTTATGTATTTATTTCATCCATCCCAAAAAAACCCCTTAAAAAATACTACGCACAAAGAAGCAGTTCAACATTTGCAATGTCATATACAAGAAGTAAATGAGTGAATTCCACATAGGTAATGGAAGCAGAAGAAAGCCATATTGCAACCCAAGGTCAACAACAGAAACACGAGGAAAGGAAGAGATATCTTACAACTCCCAATTGTTCTGATGCTTTAGCCTTCCAAAGCCTAAGATTAGTGTCATCACTCCCAGAAATAACATAACTAGCATCGCAGCTGAACTTGACACAAAACACCCTACATAAAAAGCAGGAAGAGGGAAACAAAAGAGTCAGAATAATGAAATTAGTCAACATAAAGCTATAGTTTCCATTTTGTTATGGGAAACAATAAACTCTGGAATTCAATGTCCGCACAGTTCAAGAAATGGAGCACGAAGTGATTGGCATATAAAAGCTAATTACATATGTTCAACAAATCTGAGAACCCAAATAAGGGAAATACATGAAGACCAAACCTTTGCATTCTCTTTGTATGATAAATTTCCCGGCTATGACCACCATTATACTGGAAAATTCTCACCTGCAAATGAAATTTTTTTGATTAAGAAGTACGGCCATGTTTACACATTGACAACATTGTCAAAATCATATAAGAAATGAACTCACTGTTCTGTCATAAGATCCAGTGACAAATTCTCGACCAGTTGGAGAATAATCAATATCCATCCTGGAAATGGAAAAAAGAAGTTTGGCGTATAAAACTTTCATTTTAAATATACAACAGGAAAAATGGATTTCAGGAGTGGAGAAAAAGACCAAATATTTCCATTGAAAAATTATCAACTTACACAGCAGATACATGATCCTTGTGCACACACTTAGCTTCATTAAGCTTTCTAGAATCAAAGCTATAGCAATTGGAGTCCTCATTTGCCTGTCATTGAGGAATTAGATTAGCACTTTCATGGAACAGGATAAGAAAATGCTACACAAGGAAGAAAGTCCATGTATTCTAGCATTGGTGTACTACTGGAAGTCATCAGATTACACGGTTTATGACATCATAGGGATGTTTCCTAAAAACCAATAATAAGTGTAACCATGATATTCAAATATTTTACATATAATTAGAAGGTTTTTGCACAGAGGAAGTTGCTCCAAATCATATTACCAAATTGCAGTCGGTAGACAGATATAAAGTTCCACTCCAAACTCAACTCAGAAACATATGTAATGATCAAACATCCTAAAACCATGAAAAGGATGCACAAAGATAATCTGAAGCAAATGCCTTACGTAATGCAAATAGCAGAAATAAAAAAATATGACAAAATCCAAATTTTTAAGTAACTTTAGGTTACATGCTTACAGCAGTGAAGTTGATTGGCTCCATTGGATTCCAAGAAATGGAATTGGTTCTTGTCTGTCCAAAGAAAATGTAAGTCAGAAAGGTCAATACATGCAAAAATTTAAGAGACTGTACGGATGTTGCTAAGAACCCTTAAGTTAACATTAACAATACCCTCATAATAAACTTCGCTGCTGGTTTCCCCATGCGCAAGTCATATATTGCTATGCTGCGATCACTGCCATAAAAAAAAATCATATATTATTCTCTCCTAAATACAATAAACTAAAATAAAATCATTACAGTAAGCATGAATTGAAAACAATCATGCCACTGTAACAATAGAACCACCAACTTCCTCAAATGGATGAACTAATTGTCGGTTTGAAACTTTGCCACATGTTCACAACAATTTTCAAAGAGAGATTCAGATTTTACAATGTGGAATTTTCGAATTTCCTTCAAATTTATGGCATATTAAGAGGAAGAGAGTACAAGGGGGAAGAGGAAGATGTTTTCATAAGAAAAAATGGATGCTGACCAGCAGACAAGCTGCCTTTGCAGCTGAACCTTCTTTTACAAGAAACCATTTGTTTTCCAAGATGCTAAATACTTAAAGTCTTTTATCAGTACTATTCCTTATTAAGCAAGACAAATGTAACTCAAAACTCAAATTAGAAACTAATGTATCCAGACCAAAAATCATTACAAACAAGCACATGGTATCTAATATGCTTAACGTACAAGTTTTTAGAACTAGATGAGTATCTTATCTACAAGCAATAATGCAGACCTTGCGGATGTTGCCAAGATATCTGGCTGTCCAGGATTAAATTTTATAGATACAACTGTGTCTGTTCCCCATTCAAAACTCTGCTCTGGTGCAGACCTATGCATCACAAAGTATATTGTCATGGTAAGAGGGATAAACAGTTTTTTTTTCTTCAACTTAATAGAAGAATAACCAGGCCAGATCAAAACCTGTTGTGGTTCCATATATCTACTCCAGCTCCACCTGTAGCAAAACGATCAAAATTCCACTGGTGATCAACAGCCCTGAAAATGAGAAAGTAAACCTTAATAGTAAAACCCATAAAAATCATAGCACATGTCAATTAATTTGTACAACTAACTTATTAAGTAACATCTCCTCCGAGAATTCAATAAGAAACTTGCCGAAATGCATTCTTCCAAACATAAGTTTCCAGTGGCTGCAAATATCATTTATAATTAGTTAGGTACATACAATAAAGAAAAATCATTCATTGGAACGACATATCACACTATTAGGAAGGCAATACCACAGCAGATTTATCAGATGAGACATCTTCCACCAGAAGAGTAGAAACAGGTACACCCCAAAGCCTGACACTGAAAATGGAAGATAGTGATTTCAACATGAACAATCTTCATAAACGGATAGATACAATCAAATGTACAGAGGCAGGAGTAACCCAGAAGGTTATGCCTTACGTGCTGTCTGTTCCACAAGAAACAAGAACACGCCCATCTGTAGATACTGCTAAACCTTGCACAGCGCCTTGGTGACCAGGAAATTGACAAACTGTTCGCCTTTTTGGGTCCAATGATTATAACAAATACAATAAATTTGAATGACTTATGCATGAAGTATTGAAAATGCTATTAAAGGATCTGAACTATAGATTAAAAAACAAATAAAGGGACAGTGGTCCAAATCTCAATTAAATCATATAACACTCCACACAAGAAAAGCATATGTGGATTCTCTACAGAAGAGTGCCTAATACTGAGATTCTAACCCATCTGTATGAAATTGAGCAACTCAATTCAGCAGTGTGTGGTTACCTGGAAGCTAAATCCCAGAGCCGAATATCTGCCAAAGAAAAGAAATATCAAACACTATAATGGGTTGAGAAATTAAAGCAAATTCAAACTCGATAGCTTAATAACAAAGTATATTAAAAGTTCTATAATCTAAAAGTATTTATTAGAAATCGCCATGGTTCTTTTTCTTAAGATGAAATCTTGGTACTTGCTTTTCTTAGATTTAGCAGTAGTATAGGATACCAACTAGAGAGAAAAGGAATTAAAAATTTTAAGAGAAAACAAAGTACCTCCATCCATTGAACCAGAAAATATTCTTGTCAAATGGTTTGGATTCTTTGCCATACAGGAAATAGAATCTATATGTCCATCCATTGCTCCAACAAATGGCCACAAAAAAAAAAAAATCTAAACCCACCCACCCAAACAAAAAAAAAAAAAAAAAAAAAAAAAAAAAAAAATTACATAATCACAATTTATCAAATTTCAATTTATTTAGCATCCGCAATGCAAATGCAAAAAAAAAATCAAAAAAAAAAAAAAAAAAACAAATCCCAAAACATGCCTTCTCTAGTTTTGCGGCGTTACATGCCCGGACATACTCCACTGCTTTCTCTTGCGTTCGGATGTTGGGGTCGAAATTACGGAATACCCTCTACGGAGATTAAACCAAAAATCATATTTTTATAGAGAAAAAAAAAATGAAGAAAATTGAGTTGAGAGTAAGAGAGAAGTGAAAACTCACCTGGAGGTCTTGGCTTCGTTCTTTAGTGTATTCATCTGTGGACCGAGATATTACATTCACCTTCATTGTGATTAAGTTCTAAACCGCAGAGGGAGGGGAAGCGACGGCGAGGAAGACCAATCTTAGAGGGAAACAGACGGCAAGGTAGAGAGAAAGAGATGGGTGAATAATTGAACCAATTTTCGAACTGTTACAAGCTACGTTGCACTGCTACTCCTCCGATACAATACGCCTCCTATATGTATCGGATACGCAAACGTATCGTGGACATTCCTGTTATGTTGACCATCCGATACGTCTTCGATACGCCATGGACACGAGCGATACGGTCAAGGATATGGCGGGAGTTATTTCGCAATATACTTAGCTTTTTCTTCCGGATTTGACAGAGGCTAGTTTTTACTGGTTTCACAGGTAGAGAAGAAAGAATAAGAAGGAAGAAGAAAAGAACTTACTTGCGCTCTCCAGTTGCAGTTGCTCTGCGGGGAAGAGGCGGCTAACTCGTGAAGAAGAAGATGTTAGGTTCCCCAACTACAATACGCATCGTTTTACTTGCATGCTTTCCCTATGGGCCAGCTTTGTCTTTGACAAAAGAACACTATAAGAGCATTTCCAGCAAAGGGGTGATAAGTGATTTTTTAAAAAATTTGGATAGCCCAATCTGTTTGGTAAACTACGAGAAAATAACTTATTATTAAAAATTGATGTGAGAGAAAGCTATAAGGGAAAGCAGCTAATGAAGTGTTTTCATTTTCTAATTATACATGAATCAGTTTCGAAAAGACGCTGGGTTTAATGATTATGCGGGAATCATTTTCTGATTATTCGGAAAATAGTACCAACAATACTTTTAACAAAAAGTTTACCAAACGCCAAACTGTTTTCTCTCACAACTAATTTCTCTCACAGCAAATCTGACAGTGATTATTTTCACAGCACAGCAATGCCAATGAGAACCAAATTAGGTTCTTATAAGTAAGTCCAACCCAGATGCCCAACTTTGATGATTCTTTGGGCCCATTATTGACTTATTTATATTATTTTTAAATATATATATTATTTTAATCGTTGTATCGGTGCCATATCCGTATCCTAGTTGTTTGAGATTTGTCATATCGGCGAATCATACATATTGGCGTACCTGTATCTGTATCTGTGCAACATAGATTACAAGCAATAAAACTTGGTTTTTAGCATTTTCGGTTTGGTCAATTTGAGCGATTTTTCGATGAATCGGGTTTCTTATCGATAAGGTATCGTATTGGGCCAAGAATATATTTGGGCCCAACCGTGGATTTTTTGGGCCTCAACAGAGAGATCAAGATTGAGGTGATCCGATTTGGCGAGCTCAGGCTTGGTCCCTTGAAAAAGTGTTAGAGCCAGCAGTGGAGAAGAGACATAAACATCCGCACAATCCAAAAAGTCCAAAGAGAAAGATGATTTCAAAATAAAAATGGAAGGACAAAAAACTGAAAGTTGGGGTTAAAGATGAAGATTGGAGACTAGAGCTTGTGAAATCAACAATTTAGTTTAAAATATCTCAAAACTTAAATACTCTCCACCTTGGCGTACCCCTAATCATAATCCCTCAATTCCAATAATATTCCGTCAATTCTAAGTACAATATATGTTACATCATCGTAGAATTCAGGGGACACATGGTCAGCCCGAGAACGCATTTCCTAGAAGAATTCGGGGGACATATGGTTAGCCGGAGAACGCATAGAACTTGGGGGACACGTGATAAGCCCAAAATGCACATCCGTCAAATTCCTTCGCATAACTCAGGAAGATATAATCAACCTGAGAACGCAAATCCTCGCACCACATGATTCAGGCGTCCTTGAGACTCGTGAGGCATTGTCATAAATGACTAGACTGTTCCGAAGGCAACTGGGGGGGAGGGGGGGAGGGGGGGGGTGGTTGGTTACTCTTGTGGTGGGTTTGAAAACCATTTTTCGAAACTTAACATAAAATTCATCTTTTCCCACAAATCTATTTTCCAAATCATTTCTCAACTTTCCAAAAAAAAATCAGTTCTTAAATAGATAACCAAAAATCCCTTTTTAAAATGAGATCAATCCCAACATTCCTTAACTTGAATTTGACCATAAATAATCTTTCAAAACTGTTCTCAACCTACATTCAAATATGTACAACATACTATTGAGAAAACTAGTATCCATAATTCATCGATTTCAAGCCACCGAAAATATATTTAAATATAGACATATAATCAAGCATTTAATTAATTCCTTATTCATGCCAAAATCCGGTTATCCAAGCCATTCCCAACTCCACACAATTAAACATAATATAACATGCTTGGAAAGTAAAAACGATTGCATAGTAATTCATAAACATTTAATACAACTCTCAAAGCATAATACCAATTTAAAACAAACTCCAATTACAATTACAACTACTAAATGGCCTCAACAAAGCCTACATAGCCCACTATCTAAGTCAACTAGGCTCGTAGGCCTGATCCAGCCACCGCAGACACAAGTCACGACTCAACGTACACTCCCGTGTACACCTCTAGTGAAACCCTAGCCCATATGCAATTGGGCTCTAAGCAATTCTCTCTTCCTGATCCATGAGTCAAGAAGATTTCAGTCTTAGAGTTGACCAGCTGACTCAAAGAGTGGACGACCAAAACAACTTGGTTGGATAGCTCCTCAACCAGATTGACTTGGTTCGAGACTTTGGCCTTAGATCGCAAGGCGAAGAGAGAAAGATGGATGAATTCATTTGCAGGTAGTTTGAAAGGTCCCATGCAAGTTGAGCAGGGGTAAGTAGACAATGAGAAAGACAAGAGCGTGCTCAGCAAGTCAGCATGTTGCAAGCATCCACGAGCCTCGCTCAAAGTAGATTAAGTCTTCGATTGAGATTAAGTCCAAAGGTCAACATGCACGAGAGGCTGGACCCACAACCTAATGTTCACCCCAACCTGGGCCCTTAGAGAAGCGTTCATGCGAGACTAGGCCCTTGAGAAGATCAGCCTCACGGTCATTCCCATGAAGTACGAGAGGAAAGACACTTACAGTCATTCAGCATAATTTGATATTGTTGGTCCTAGAAACATAATTTGAATTAGTCATTCAGCTCAATATCTCCCCCATTTAGTTATTTCTTTCGCTTTCTTCGTTAATCTCTCAAACATGGAAGGTATAACAATATCAAAACAATAAACTTTCCTAACAAAAACACACATACACAAAGGAAAGAAAAAGGAACGAAAATGTACATGTTTTCTCCTCCTTCCTTTTCCTCCTCAAATCTACCATGTTTCTTCTTTTTTTTGTCATCTTTTTCCCATCTACACACACACACAGAAAGAGATAGAAGGACAGAGAGACAAAGAGACAAAGAGATAGAGATATATACATATATATATATATAGAGAGAGAGAGAGAGAGAGAGAGAGTGGGGCCTACACAAAATTAGGAATTGAATTCCTGATTTTGGAGGAATTCAATTCTTGGGTGGGAGGTGGTATTCTAATTCCTAGAGAACTAACCCATTAGGAATTCATCTTTTCTACCCATTATATCCTCATGCAATTTTAAAATTTTAAAATTTGCCATCTACTTTAACCCAACAATAAGGACATTTTAGTAATTGGGTTTTTAACCGAAATGGTCCCCCAACTATTGCTCCAGTATAATTTTTGTCCACCACTAAATTTTTCATTTCAATAGTCTTTCAACTTTTCATTTCAATTGTCTTTCGACTCTTAATTTGGTATTAAGATGGTCCTATTGTCAAAGTCTGTGAACTATTACGTGAAATCGAGGGACAAAATCGTATTTTTAGGTCAGTATCCTCCTCTAAAACGACCAAGCCACATGCCAAAAAGATTCTCTCCAATTTCTTGGTGAGGTATGAAATTGGTTATTTGCAGAATAGCAAAAGAGGTATGCATTTTTTCAAGTGGGTGGATAATAAAACTTGTCCAAGAGGAAAACAAATGGTCCCTGGTTTGCTTAGAAGACTTAGAGCAATGGAGGAGGAAGGTAGAGTAAAGGAGGAAAATTTGAGATCTGTGGAAGCATAAAAGAAAGAACTACAAGAGAAATTGAAAGAAATGGTTCAGGAAAAAAAAGGGAGTTTTAATTGCAATCCTCTGGAACACTGTCTCATCCCTCACAATTCGAGTTTTAATTGCAACTGTACTACTCTTGTTTGCATTCTTCAATTGTTCTGCATAATCTCACAACCTAGCATATTGTTCTTTGTAAGTACCTTCAATTAAATCTCTGGCCAGCTTCTTTGCCCTATAAACTTGAATTTTTGTGACATTTATTTGGTAATCTTCCAACACATTTTCTTGAAATGATTTCAGATCAAACTCTAAGTTTCGCTTGAGCTTGTTTGCATATTTGTCACAAAGCCCGTTTTATGTGGTATACCTAAGCTTGTCCACCCTCCCACACTCATGATCTAGGTTCAAAGCTTTTATTGCAAATGTCCCTTCCTATGTATCAATCTTTGATCCATATACTTGGAATGAACAACCTTCCACACATTTTGCCTGAACTTATCTCTTGTCATTCTTTATCAATTTCACTTCCCTACCATGTGTAATTGCATGATAGTCTCTATCAGTAGTTTTTTTTTTGTTTGCAAACTTCATTCCTAATCTAAACTCAGGATTTTTCAAATCCACATCTCTTCTATACTGCTTAAACTTTGGTAGTTTTTTTTTTTTACTGTTACCTTCATCTTCTTTCTCACTTTCAGTGTCAAATTCTGATGTGTTAGCACCATATGATGACACCTTTCTTGGAGCCTCATGAGTAGTCCCCTGATCTGCTATATTCTCTTGAACAGTTGCCCTGACCTCTGCCTAATTTTCACCGAACTCATAATCACTGTCCTTAAATTCTGAATCCTCATCTTCATTTGGTAATTTTGCCCCTTCATCATCAATTATCACATTTGTCGCTACATCTTGATTTGATAATTCTGCCCCTACATCTTCATTTGCCACTTTTGTCCCAACATTCTCAAAAGTCTCCTCATCTTCATTATAAGCCACCTCTTTCACTTGGGAAAAGTCATTATTTGCCAATTCATCAATGAAAGGCCACGTCACATCCCCACCACAATTCTCTGCATCTACATCATAGTCATAATCTTCATTTCCAAACTAGGCCACTCAACAGATGCTTGACTCCAACTCCATTAAAAATTTCAATATGAGTATGGTATAACACAATAACCTTATTGGATGGTATGTGACCAACAATTTCAACCACTTTAGCATCAAATGTAAGAAGCTCTAGTCCACCCTTAACATTTCTATACCTAATTTTCAAATTTTGCTGAACTTGAGAAATGTCAACATCATACCCAAGACCTCTCCCTATTTTCATTAAATCTAACAAAGACAAAAAAATCATCTACAATATTGTCCAAATTACATACCTTATTCTTTTATAAACCTCATTTTCAAACCAGCCTCCATGCTGTAATTCTATAGTGCACATTCCATTGGTAGCTGCAAAATTAAAACAACAATATGTTAATTTAAAGTCACAGTTTTGTTGTTAATGCCAAGGACAACAATTACTGAGTTTGGTGTGAAGCAGACAACCAAGGGACCACAGACATTTAGAAAAAACCCCATATTCTACAGTCAATGTAGCATAAAGCTAAACCCACATACAAGAAAACGATTCCTTTACCCTTACTTTAAACATAAACCAACCAACATAGGAAAAGGAATCTTTTACACATAAAGAAACCGCACTTCCAAACAAGGACAACTCATCTAGTTGCAAACAAAAACAATATAAAATGCATTATAGTAGCCCTTATCGTATTTAGGAGCCTCTCCACCCGAACAGAATTTGAACTCCATTATTAGCAAGCAGTGAATTTCCCAAAATTCCCAAAATCAAACCCTAACCCAAACTCCCAAATTCAAACTCCAAAATTAATACTGAAATTACACACTAACTTGACCAATTCAGCGACTTGCATACTACTAGAGCACAGACCAATTCAGCGACTTGCATAAGAATCTCTTTCAGTCCATGGTAATTGTCTAAAATGATAGAAATATCGACCAAACTTTAGGTATTTTGCTTTTAAAGGATAGAGCCTCTCAAAAAGTTGCATGTACCCTTCAAAACTCAGTCACGTGGCCATCACCATGATCAGAAGTGATGGAATCTGTCATGATAAGACCATCTTGATACTAAATGAAGAGTTAAAGGACTACTGAAATGAAAAATTTAGTTGATAGACCAAAATGATACTGGAGTAATAGTTGGGGGACCATTTCGGTCAATAACCCTTTAATAATTAGTATCATTCCTACCCCAATTCCATATGGTTTAGTAAACAACTTCAATAGGAATCCGTAATCTAACTCTTCTCAATCCATATGGTTTAGTAAACAACTTCAATAGGAATCCATAATCTAATTCTCCTCAATCCAATTACGGATTAGTAAGCATGTCATCCAAGTAATGAACATAAAAATAATAGAACGAAAGATTTAACTCTGCATGTTGATTTTAATATTTGAAAAATCTCTGGAAAATGATCATTTGAAACTTTTGAAGGCTTTATGAAATAGATAAATTCCAAATTTAGTTAAATACCCATTCCTAGACATAATGCTATAAAGAAATCCTATACCATTTAATTTCTATAAACAAGCCCAAAAAAAACTCAAAAATAAAAAATCAATAGTTGTACATTTAATTAATTTAATTAATAAAATGAAATACATTTATTGCCCTTTTACTATAAAATTGGAATTCTAATCCCTTTATTTGGCGTTGAAGCAAGAGCAGAGCTCATTTTCACAAGCTCTAGTCTCCAATCTTCATCTTCAACCCCAACTTTCAGTTTTTTGTCCTTCCATTTTTATTTTGAAATCATCTTTCTCTTTGGACTTTTTGGATTGTGCGGATGTTTATGTCTCTTCTCCACTGCTGGCTCTAACACTTTTTCAAGGGACCAAGCCTGAGCTCGCCAAATCAGATCACCTCAATCTTGATATCTCTGTTGAGGCCCAAAAAATACACGCTTGCACAAGCCATGACCACATGCCACGCCAAATAAATATGCCATCCGGCACACTAAGAATTGAAATGGGCCTATAAGAGGCACCGACTTTACAAGCCCATGCTAGTTATCTCGTCAAGCATCATAATTAAAAAACATGCCAAGCGACATGCCATGCCAAGCGGGAAATCATTATTTCACACCCAACCACACTACAAGCCTAAGTGGGCCCAAGCCACTTGAATGCTCGGGGCTTGCTTGAGTGGGTTGTGATATGGATGGTAATAAATCAACATGACGCCCATTGATAGGTTGAGAAATGGAAGTCTCGGGTTGCTTGGGAGCCTCGGGAGTCAAGCCCATTTCTTAGGCCCAAACATATGGGTAAGCACAAAGGAGGAAATAGCCCAACACCTCAACAAAAATAGTCCAACACTTGTTGAGGTTACCATTTATTTTGACAAACCAACCCATTATCTTAGAAGGCCCATACAATTAGAAGTGAGAACCAACAAAAACATCAGCCCATTGCTGAAAAAATAGAAGCCACGAAAGAAGCAAGATGTCCACATATGCAAAGCTGTTGGAAGGCTCCAGCACATGGGAACGGAGGGATCGTACCATTCGAGCTTTTTTTTTCATGCTTTTCCTGGAGGTCTGGAGAAAGCTGCAATCAATAGGATTTCCAAAGAACCAAGGGATATTAGCGCGTAGGCTAAGAGGCACCCTTTGAACCAGCATACATACCCAATTCCTTCCCCCGTCAGACCTGGCCATGGAAGAAGGAAAGAAAGAAAGGAAGGAGATGGCTGGGAATGGAAGTCTCCCACTGAAACAGCGCGGGAAAGGGGCCTTGATCTCCCAAAAATATCTAGTTTTGTGCAAATAGGCAGAGGAAATTTCACCAAGATAGGAAAAGTCAAGGGGAGAGATGAGAAAGAAAGGGAAAAGCTTGGCCAAATTGGGTTGAAGCTATTAGGGTTTCTTGGGAAGTGATGGTTTCCAGCGGCTATAAAATGAGGCATCTTCTACCCAACGAAATCCACTCATATCTGGAGAGCAAGCTTCCTCTCTTCCCTGCAAAAACCCAACAATTTCGTGCACTATTCACCTTTCTTCTCCATTTTCCTCTTATGGCAGACTACTTTCAGATTTGACAGAATTTCTGTCAAGCTGCCGGAAAAAGATTGTTCTTTCTTTCTCTTTTCTCAGCCAAATCTTCTTGCAAACCTTTTCTTCCTCACCTTAACACTCCCTTTTCTCCTTAGGAAGCCATATTTTCCTCTTTGGTGCTAAACTCATGCTGATTTTTCTTCCATGCCACAAGCTTCTCATGTCAAGTTAAGATCTTACCTGTAAGCATTAAGAATTTATCTGTAAGCAGCCATTATTTTCTGTTGGTGAAGGTACCCAAGGTGTTTCCTAGGGCTTTGCTATCCTTTCGAAACATTTTCGGGTCTGATCTTTGAACTCAGATACAGGGGATATTTTCTTCAATTTGCTTTTTACAGCAGCCCAGCTTATTTGTAGCTACCAGAAGAAAAATGCCCCTACACTCTCCAAGTTCATTCTCATATGCTTTCTTCTTCATATTTGTGTTTTTGCTTGTAGATTTGTGGACGAAGGTATTAGATTGAGATTATGGTAGAATTGTACAGTGATATCAAAGGAGCCTCGATCTCGACATGTCATCTTGGCGGAAACGACAGCCGAGGACCTCGCGGGTTGTTCCGGAGGACTGCACAACAACAGCGATTCGTTGACTCGTCGTCTTCAATTGTTGAGGAAGACGGGGATTTCACCGCGTCTTCGCGTTTCGTAATTTTTAGTAGCCAATCCATTAGGAATTATTCTTACCTAACGGTGAATGTATGATGAGGAAGAAAAATTAATTGTACTCTAAAGAAAAAGGGAAAAGAGAAAGCTTCATTACAATTGATAGAGGATTTCAAAGCAATGTTTATTAAGCCCTCTTGTAAGAGAATCTCCATAATACATTATCAAAATCGACATAAAATTAATTTAAAACAAACAAACGAACTTACTGAATTTTTAAGAGTTCATGAAGATGAGAGAGGAAGAGGAGAGATGAGAAGAAGAAGAAGAAGAAGAAGAAGAAGAAGAAGAAGAAGCGATGTGATGAGAAAGAGCAAGAGAGAAATAAAACCAAAAAAGAAAGATTAGGTTCGTTTGGACTAGTCTAGCGGGCAGTGGATCAAGGTGGCACCAACCCGTTATCCTTCCACTGCAAAGAGCGGGAGGTAGGCGTTGCTCTGTGAACCCAGCCTCACGCGGTGCCCTCCTCTTTAGGAGCCACGTGGCCCAGAGCTTTCGCTCAGATCACATGGAACAACTCTTTGCTTGGAATGGGCGGGCTAGTAAAGAGACACATCAGACCCGACCTGTTAATTCTAGGCCAAAGTTCCATCACCTCAATGCCCCAACTCAAGTTACAAGCTCTCGTTACTTAGCTCGGCAGCGCTCCTTCGCCTTCCTGTGTTTATAAAGCGTTTTGTCTAAACATGGTACGTCGATGTGGGACTATTTCTTCAACACTTGTAGCTCTCTCTTGTTTTGGCATAAGTGAATTTAAGGTCTATTTTGAAGCTCAAATTTTCATCCATGACTAATTATTTGGTACTTTCCAATACCAGATTAGGAAGATAACCTAATTCTATCAGTGCAGAATCACTTAAAACGGCTAAATCAAGAGTTAGAAGCTTTTTGTTCCAGCACCAAAATGTTATCAAGACTGCTGCATTTTTCAATTCTTCACAAAGTTCAGTCAGTGTAGCTTTTATAAAAGCCTTAAGACTTCCACTTAGGTCCAAAAAATTTGATAACACAGGGCAATCTGTATAGTTAGCCGAAGAAAAAGCAAGCAAACCCTTTCCATTATCTTTGCTCTCTCTTGTATTTCTCCAAGCTTGGCAAGAATTTTAGACAGAGGGTCTTGGCCCTCTCCATCATCTTTTGGGCATTGAGGAGTCTTCCCCTACATTCTAGCCTTCATCTCTCCGAGACTAAGGCCTAGTTTCAGATTCCGGTGCCATCTTCGAAAGCAACCCGGTCCAGTTAATGAAAATTTACGATTGAATGCAAAGCAAACCATGCAGAAAATCCAACTCCACAACAGAATCAAGTGAGTTCACCTCAAACCCGAACACAGCATCTTGCTGCTGTTCAACCATGTTGTGGTACTTTATCTCTTCACTCCCCCTATACTTACTTTCTGTATCTCTTCAGCATTTGCTAATCTCTTGGCTTGTATAAACTAATCTCTCATTCAAGTGCTAATATCACTCATTTCCTCAACTTTGAGTTGATAGTCTTCTTGAGACTATTTGTGGATTATGCACCTTCTTTGAGTTGAGAAGAACTAACATTTGAGTATTATTTTCTCAAATTCTTTAGCAATATCATAACCATTGTGCCTTTGTCTTTGTGGAGCAAAAGATAAAAACAAAATGAACACTAAACATATTGTCAATCTTGTTATATAATAGAAATTTTGAATTAGTTACTGTGGTGGACAAGGGGGAGAAAACTAGCATGGGAACAAAGGCGATAACTAGCTTCAATTCCGTAGTGACTAGCATAGCACCATCCCCCAATTTCAGAAACCAGCAGGAAAACCGCCTTTTCTTGGATCACTAACTGCCACAATCTCCCTAGTGCCTCCATTGTTCTTCAAAGCCTCTATTTGTTGAACTATAAACTGGCAAATAGATCCACCAGAAAGGGGATTTAGGACGTGGCCCTTCTTGTGTAGGGCTTTCCTGATTTGAGCAGGAACTTCAAAGTGATCGCCAGTCACGGTTGTCCAATTTTCATACTGAACCACATTTGGTAATAGCTGTTAAGACAGAAATGCATCAGATTAGAAGCTTTAATGGATAACTAAATTGAACTCTACGTTTTATGTACAGTAAAAGAGTAAGCCTCTTTTCTAATCAAATAAAATACAAAAGCTCAACATTGGAAAAGCTGAAGCAGTTGGCGGCAGGGTTAGAGCAACGATAGGTTGCTCAAGGGTGGACCATCACCTAAGGATAGTTAATATGTTAACCAATTACAGAAATTAATCAAAAACACGAAAAAAAAAAAGAGGCATCCCTTAATCCTATTATTCAGCTGCTATCCAAGACATTTTTTACCCATAACAAGATATGGGTGAAGTCTTCACTACCTTAAAGATGTTTTAAACTGGAGATTCAGCTCTATTTTGAAACTTGACCGTAATCAGGAACTTATGGTTCTATGTCACATAACATATCTCAAATCCAATGAGGTACCATTTTTCGGTTTAAAAATGTCAGCATTAGCAGTTACCATCTTTACCATACAGCATAATGGCCGAACTTATTATGAAAAGTATAAATTGCACTGAAGGTATATCTTGCGTGCGTGAGAGAGTGTAATCAGAATGGGACTTGAATGAAAACCTGATGATAGACCCTTGGAGCCATGACCGAAGAGAGTGGATCCAATCCCCTTGCAAAATGATTCAAAAGAACCTGTGCAGTTGCAGCAATGATCATGCCTCCCCCACTTGCGCCTACTACTGCTTTCAGTTGCTCATCCTGTCAAATCATATATAGGAAGACATGAAAATATTGCTCAGGAATACACACTGCATAGAAAAACATTAAAGTTGAAACTTCCTATTGTTTCTTTTATCTACCTCTATCTTCTCTCTTTCACTCCCTCTTCTACCTCTCTCTCTCTCCTCATTTCTCCATATCGCTTATGCATTACCTTCAGGACTATAGTAGGTGTCATGGATGATAATGGCCTCTTTCCTGGCCTGATGAAATTGGGCGGTGCTGGAGGTGGAACTGTAGAATCATTTCCAGGTATAGAGAAGTCATCCATTTCATTGTTTAAAATTATTCCTGTACTTGACGACAGTATTTGCGCACCGAAATATCCATTCACAGTAGTAGTCATGGAGACGGCATTTTGCTCGTTATCTATGATGGACAAATGACTGGTTCCATGATCATGGATCTGGTTCCACCTGTTAGGAAACAAGGATTAGCATAAACAAACAAAAAGTCTTGGATTAGGAGAATATGTAAAAGGGCCTCTACAAGCACAAGCAAAATACGTGAGAGTGAGAGCAAGTTACACAGGATTTTACTTTCTTTTTTTTTTGGGAAACAGGGCTTTACTGCTTTAGTTAGGCAGATTTTGCATATAATTTAGACTAAAATCCCACAACATTCATATCGCAACATTACCATTTTCTATCCAATGTTGACTGCCAACATGAATGAATTAGTGAATGATGAAAAATAGTTTAGTACATCTTTGTACTCATGCTTGCATACATGTGGATAGCATTCCCTTCATCTGAAATTGATGAAACTAGACGCATTAGAAGTAAATGGACTTCTAAATGGATGTATAAGAAGCTTGAGTAGCAAATTAAATAGAGACAACAAACTCAATGCGCCACCATTTTTAAACCACTTCCTCGTCGCCGAGAAAACGAATTCAGTAGTATAATCAGGAACTGACAACATTAGTTCTATGCACATTGAAGCATTGGTACTCAAGTGCATATATGTACTATTCCATGCATTAGCAAGAAACAGAATTTATATTAATAAATCTTGGACAGAAGAGATAGAAAATTTGGTAACCAAAACAAGAATAATTAGTTAAACGAATGTATAATCTAACAGGTAATAAATATTGTTGGCAATTAGACAGCATACCTGCCTCCATAATGGCTTGGGTCAAAAGTCCTGTTGTCATATATGGTCTTCTTTAACTCCTCAGCAAACTTAGGAGAAAGCATATCAGCTAGAACATTAGTCACATTAACAAACTCAGGATCACCAAGATTCATCCTCACCGCGAATACATGTTTCAAGGACTCGATTTCTCGATGGACCCAAAGAGGATCAGAAACTCCAGAAACGTTTCCATATTGAGAAAGAATGTTTAGCATCTGTAACAGTGGAATTGAGAAAAAAAAAAAAAAAAAAAAAAAAAAAAAAAAAAAACAATGACAGAACAAAGATATACTACACAAGTATCATTGGAGGACCTCCGGAAGGAGGAGGCATAGCCAGTATTTTAAACCCAAGAGTGTCATAAGATATAGGCTTGCTCAGTTTAACCCTATAATTTTGCAAATCCTTCATTGTCAGTATTCCTCCAACCTTGTGAATATCTCTAACCAATTTGGATCCGATAGATCCATTATAGAAGGCTCTGGGACCGAAATTCGAAATGTCCCTGAGTGTCTGCGCCAGTTTCCAGTTACGACATGTCTCACCTGTCTTCAAGAGACTCCCGTTTGATGTAAATACATGACGAAGTCCCTCATCTGCCAAGATTCCTGATTCTGTTCTACGCATCTGCATGTTGAGGTATGGTGAAATCTTAAATCCCAAACGAGCGAGACGCTCAGCTGGACTTACAAGCCTTTTCCATGGAAGCCTTCCATATCGTTTCCAAGCTTCATGAAGGCCTGCGAGTTCCCCTGGAATTGCTATGGACAGAGCCCCTTTACCTTTCAGCGTAGTGTTGGAAGAATACATGTTCTGAAAGTAGAAATAAATAAAAAAATCATAAGCACCAGGCAACTCATTCAAGTCTAATGGAAGAGAGAGCTTTTGGTAAAGCAGGTTGAAACCTCAGAAGCTAGCAAGGGAGCAGTTTCTCTCATATCAAAGGCTTGTGCCTCCCCGCTGGCTAGCCTGATAAGCATGAAGGCTCCTCCCCCTATGCCACTTGATGCTGGACTCACAACCCCTAAGCAAAGAGCAGCAGCCACTGATGCATCAACGGCATGACCGCCTTCGAGAAGAACGTGCATCCCAATTCTGGAGCATCGGCCATCATCCGTGGCAACAGCAGCATGGCGTCTTGAAATTACCTCTCGCCTTTTTTGGTTGAACTGCTGTTGGTAGCATCAAGGCTTAAAATAGGAGGCAACCAAAGAATTATGGTAACGAGCAGCAGCAGCGGATCTGCAACCAAAGAATTAGCATCTACAGATTATGAATTCAAAAACCCATTTGCTGAAACAGATGAAAGAAAATTCCAGAGTTACTCACATTGCATGGTTACCACCATGTACAAAGCTCAGCTTGAACACTTGCTTTTTCACCTTTTTCTTCGTCTACATGATCAGAAGAAGACAATCTACAAGCCGCCAATGGGCGGTTTAAAATAGCAATTGTGCACAGGTGGCGAAAGCACACAGGCGAGAACGCCATAGTTGGGATTAGGCGAAAGGTAAGTGACAGAGGAGAGACTAATTCAAAGATTCGTTATAGAGAGCAAGAGAGTTCAAAAGTCACTCTCTTTCATCAAAGTTTTCACCGGTCGAGTGGGCCTTTGATGTTTAGTTTTCAAATATTAGCCCAAAAAAGAGTGTCTAAAGCAAGTACAAAATTGAGTAATAAACCCCAGTAGAGAATGGTATTTCCCCATATTTATATTTTTTTAGTATAAGCGATAGTCTAAACTATACTATGAGGGAATTTCTTACAATATTATATTAGAATTTATATTTTGGATTGGAAGTACAATTTTGGAAAAGGAAAAAAAAATGTTGATCGTTGTGTTTGGATGCTTTTGCAATAACAAAAACACTTTCAAGTAATGGAACTGTTTTAGAGTGCTTCTTGAAGAGTTAAAAGCACTTTCTGACAACTAGAAACATGTTTTACAGTGTTTGATAAAAAAGTTTAGAAGTACTTTTGGGTCGTAGAAGCGCTTTCCAGAGAAGCACTTATTATGTGCTTCTTCAAGGCACTTGAATCTGTTATGAAAATTGCAATATCTTTATAAAAAAAGCGCTTTTGCTAAAAGCATTTAAGAGGAGATTTCTAAAGAAGCAAATTTGAGTTGATTTTTTGTCGTTAATGCAAGAGTAGTATGAAATCAAAAACAAAACAAAATAAAATATTAGTAAACTTTCTGTTTGCCAATTATTCAGAACGAATTTGTTTACCTCCAAAATCTCAAAATTCAAACGTATTTTGTAAGCGGCCACGCCCAGCACTGTAAGCTTCGACAAGCCCAAATCGCCGACCGGTCAGTGATAAGTACACCTCATCACAAAACCCTATCTTTTTTTCAAGGTCTGTTTGATAATAATTTCATTATCATTTTCAGTTTTCATGAAATTGAAAATTGAAAATGTGTTGGTAGCTAATTATAATTTTTAGTCTGTAGAAAACTGATTTCAAAACGAGGCATAATTTTGAAAGCTACCGAAAATCAATTTCAGATTTCAGTTTTCTATTTTCTTTTTCACGCTCGCTCTCGCCCTCTGAACTCTTTTTCTCTCGCTCTCACACTCACTCTCGCTTTCTCAACCCTCTCTCTCTCTCTCAACTCTCGATCTGCCTCTTCTCTCTTCCTCTGGACTTTCATCAAAGGTATGAAATTCTCTGACTTGGACTGTTTGGGTGTTTCAGATTTGGTGTTTTTGGGTTCTGGGTTTTGTTGTTCCTTTGTGCTTGACTTGTTTTCTATCAAATGGGCCCTTAGTTTTATGTTTTCAATCTTCTGCAACTTGAATTGACATTCTCTTTTACCGTTTGAAAAGAAAAGAAAGAACTGAAAATGTGCCTTTAAAATTGGGTGTTTCCCCCTTCTTTTTGGAGTATGCAAATTGGGTTGTTTGGCATTTCTGATTTAACATACTCTGGTTGCTGTTTCACGCATGAAGCCAACATTGAACACAAATCGAAAAAATTGACAATTTTGTGTGTCGTGTATAAATTTTATAGTTGATTTATGGAATCTTTTTTGGATGTGATAGCCGAATTTACCAGTTCAAATGGCAAGAAAAAGAGCTAAGAAAACTGTAAAACAAGTTGCCTTGTCACCAGGGACCGATTTCAATGTGGCGGAGGCAAAGGAGCCCCAGAATGCGAAACAAGAAGCTCAATTCACAGACCCAGATGGTACAATTTCACTTCACGCATCTTATATTTGTGTTTCTATTGACAGCATTTGTACTAATTTGTTCAATTTTTGGGTTTTTTTTTCTGTTCTTTTCTTTCTATAGGTTGATTGTTAACGTTCAATGGGTAGTTGTAATACGGTATCCATTTTAATGAGAAACTCTGCTTCTGATTCTCCATCGGAAAAGAATGATGTCTTTATTTTTCTCTTGATGTTGGGCTGTCCATCCTTCTATTAGTCTTAAAAAGTTTTGATTTTCTAATCCCCTCTTTATCGTCATCTGTCTAAAATCCAGATTCAATGAGCAATTTTCGGGCATTTAAGTTGCTAAATTATATTTTAGAATTCAAATTTCAAATCATTTGTGACCAAATGCTCGTATTGTTTGTTTGTGTTTTCACAGTTGAGCGGCAAATTTCTGCCATTAGGGCTATTCGTGATGTTGAGACTGAACATCTCCTGACTAATTTGCGTTTGCTTCGCTCCTACTTCAACAAGGAACAGCAGCGAACCCCTCTATTGCAATATTTTAAAGAGAACTTTCAAAACCTGTCGATTGTAAGAAATGGAGAAAATGGACAAATGGAAGTGCAATGGATTGATAAAGATGGCAATGTATCCATGAATGATGGAATGGATTTGCATGAGACTCTTCTTCGCCGGTTGTCCATTGCTTATTCTGGTTGCTCTGCTGCAATTCCATCTCTTGGTGGCTTTGAGTTTTCTAGTAAAGCAGGTATTAGCAACTTTAGAAACTCCTATTTTTTGGACATGGGGATCTGGAATTTGAGGAACAGTTTGTACCCTCATTGTTTGTGTGTTTTTTATATCTCACATGATTGAGTTGGTTGGTGGCAGATAAAACAAGCCTTCTGGGTGCTGATAATCTGCAGATCAGCGACTTTGTATGTTCTCTTCTTATATACACGTCTAGATTAGTGGAGTTTTCAAATGTGTCTAACACGAAAATCAAAATGTTTAAATACATTTTTATATGCTTATGTAGCACACATGCAATTAATATATAGTAAAGGTTCAATTCCATGTTGTGCATACAAACAGACACACATGACGCACACACACATACACATATGCACACAGACACACATGCATATGCAAATACACACACATGCATACATAAATGCATACATCCATCCATTCATACACATACATATATTTACCTTGCTGAAATTTCTATTGTAGGGTTTAGAGGAGCCATTTGATACTCTGATGCTAGGAAAGCAAGATACTCTCCAAACTCCTGGGGTTTGTAGCTTCTCGATTGATTTATCATATTTGGGTTTATTTGAGCTGCAATTGGTTTGATTATGACAATTTGTGTTGTTCTGTTGAAAGCTTTTGGTTAGATTTCAAATTCTTTTACCATAAATTTGAATAAGTAGAACGCCTAAACGGCTTACTGAAGTGCATGAGCTCCAGAAGGATAGGTTCTATAAGTGTCTATCCTCAGGACCTAAAAGAAGTGCTAAGCTGATTTTCTATTAAAGCTAACAACTAGGAGCGAACCCTTGTTGCTTTAGTGAATTTACGTAAATTAGGGAGATTATGTTGTAAGCCCTTTCAGAATGTTGAAGAGTCCAAAGTTCAGGACTTCTGAAAGAAAAAACAGTAATGTTGACATAGAAATCGATATGTAAAGGGGAAAACCGGAAAATATTATTAAGTTTCAGTGACCTTAATTGTGTTGAGAGAAAAATAAGTTATTAGGACAAGTTTTCTAGGTATTGAGTTGTGACAAGAGTATGCAAAAGTAAGTACTTAGTTTAACTGCCAATATAGTTGTTGATTGTCCTAAAACTCTCTGTTGTTGTACTGTTGGATATACTATTGAGCAAAAAGAGCATCTTGATGGCCCTTCCAGTCTGTATGATCTAATCAACCCTGGTTGACGCTGCAGGTGAGTAGCCAGAGGCTGTCTATTGGGATGACACCCAAGACGCGAAGGCTTCCGAAGCCTGGGGAGATGCTCTTATCTGTCCATGGCTCACCCCTTGGTGTTTACAAGGAAGACAACATGGAAGCCATACATGGTATGATCCCTTCCAATGAGTACCTGTTCTCTCTCTTGTTTATAATATCAACGCTACAACTAGCACATGCTTGCCATTTTATCAAGTGGAATTTATTTGGGCCTTTGAATTTCAAATTTATATTTCTTCCTTTTGTGAAATTATGGCAAATGTACCCTTCTACGTAATGGATGGACTGATACTATGTATGGGAGTATGTCCCTTAAACTGAAAATTTCCATTTCTTCTGCTTTCATTCTAATTTCTGAATTGATGGGCAGAGTCGGAAGAGGGATGACTGGCTTGAATTGGCTCAAGTGGTCAATCAGGATTCACGACTGTGCATTACTTGCCAATCCAAGGTTCTTTAATTTACTTCTAGCATTGTGCTAACAATCACTTTAGTGCCTGAAAATGCTCTTGTATCATTGTACTGACACCTTTGAGATTGGATTTATGTGAAACATATTCTATCATTTTCCCTGTATGTAATTCATATCTAATTTTCGTCATTTGTTTTAGTAATTTCCCAACAGAATCGAACATGAACGTTGATTTAAGCCAGAGCATAGTGATAGACTACTCGGTTTTACTCTCAATTCATTTCTATCCACCAACATTGCTTTGATTTTTGCTTCTTAGTCATTCAAATGTAGTCAGGCCCTTTCAGATTTTCCATAAATGCCAATAATTTTAACTTTTGGTTTGATGTAATTCTCTGTGTTGTAGAAATGTGTGTTTGTGTCATGTTTAGGCCCATGTCATGAGTAAGATTTTGGTATCTCATTAACTTTTATTTCTTGCTTCTGCCGGCCCCATTCGCGTCAATCTGCCGACAGAGCAGGTGTTGCTGTCTTAAAAGTGTCATTTGGTCTATATCCCATGCGTTCTTGGTCTTCCTCTTGTCCTTTTAGTGGCTTCCCTTTGAATTGAAACAGATAAGAAGTTTATTACTTTGCCTGGTAATAATTTCATCTGCCGTTTTCATCTTCTTGCAATTCTACTGCTATTATAATCTTCTTCCCCATTAACAGTAAAAAAAAGGGCCTGTACTCTTCTCACACTTGTGTGTGATTTCTTCTAATGTAGATGAAGCAAAATTTTACATAAGCGAATGTATGGTAATTATGCACTCTTTTTCCTTTCGTTTTGGTTACTGTTGTTTTTTGGGTGTGATTTCTTTGGTTCTGTTTTGTTTTGCTAGTGGAATCCTGTCATAAGCCAGTTGGGAATTCTTCTCTGCCGGCTGAATATACTCCATAGAAACGATCGACATCATATTTTAATTTTGAAGGGTGCCTTGATATTACATCTATCCAAATGTAACCAAGAAACAAAGAAACAAAGAAACAAAGAAACAAAGATTAGGACCCTTGTTTATTAAAATTCCTCCTTGATATCCACTTCACAATAATTTAGTCGGCATTAGCTTGAGACAAGAAATTCCATAAACAACTAGGAATTATTTCTCATCCATATCCTTTAGAATTTGGGAGTGTGCTTTTTCCTTGATATCCACTTCAAATAATTTCAGTTCCATAAACAACTGAATTTGGTATCAATTAAAATCAAGTTACTCATTCCTTAATTAAAATAAAATTAGAAAATAATAAGGCATAGCCAGACATTAAAGTTAGCCAAGAGTATTTTTTAGGGTGGTGTTATTTGGACCACATTTACTGACTAGTTATTGCTGACAATTTCTCTAATACAAATACAGGTGGATCCCACATACACTGGTGGGGTCCACCTCTATTAGAGAGGTGGTCAGCAAGGTAGTCAGTAAATATAGTCCAAATAACATTATTTGTTTATTTTTTTATTCCATCTTCAGTGCCGGATAAATATTTAAATAAAACTTGGCTCCTCAGACAAGAGGTTGAACTGGCCCCTACTCATGTCAATATTAAACCCAAAAAATAAATAAATAAATAAAATTCAAATCATTGATATTGTAACTAATCGTGAGATCAAAGTGCTCCTATAAATATTTGCCATGCAATATTAAACCAGTGCACTCTAGCACTTAACCTACTCAACCATTTAAGCACAACCAACAAGCTCAATCACCAACCTTATAGCTGTGTAGCAGAGTTAACCATGCATTGGGTTGGGGCAATACTTGTGTTGCTTGCTCTTGTTTATGTACTGCAAGCATGGCTGTCCAAAAGCAAGAACAAGAAGAAGAGATTGCCTCCTGGTCCAAGAGGGTTTCCACTTTTCGGAATCCTGCACATGTTAGGGGAGTTCCCTCATCAGGATCTGAATTGACTAGCCCAAAAGCCTAGCGACATCATGTATCTGCGCTTAGGCTTTGCTCCTGTTGTTGTTGCCTCATCCCCTCAGGCTGCTGACATTACTACATTTTACTATTTACGCGACGAAAACGATTTAGTCGTGCAAAGTACATTTGAGTAGCACAAATTTGGGTTCTGCCAAACATCATGTATCTCAGCTTCAGTAGTGCTGCTCCGAGTGAGAACCTCAATTGGTATGTGATGCCCTACTCGGTCGTCGATCACGGATGCTAATCGTGAAAGGGCATTGGCTTGGTTGTTCTCAGATCTTGGGATCTGTCGAATTTGGTATGTGCTGAATTGCTTGAGCAATCGGTGGGTATGTGCTAAGTAGGCAACCATCAACTCGTCTTTAGCTTCAAATTCGGTATTTATCTGATTGACAACTAACTGAGAGTCACTGCAGATTTGGAGTTGTTTGGTGCCCATTTCTTTGGCGAGCCAAAGGCCTGACAAGAGGGCCTTGTACTCGACCTCATTATTAGAGGTTTTTAATTGGAACCAAATTGCGTATTCGATTGTTGTTTGTTGGTTGGATGAGCTGTCGACATAAAATGTCCAAAGGGGACTCTTCAGGTCGGTTTGTCCCTAGGTCAGTAGAGAGTTTGGTGGTACCGACGACTATTTGGGGTAGGTTTGTTCCTTTGATAGGGGTGTCAATTTAGAGATGAAATTAGCAACGGCTTGTCCCTTCTCGGCAGGGCGGGGGTGATAGTGGATGTTGAACTCCCCGAGCTCGATGGCCCATTTGATTAGTCCTCCCGATGTGTCTGGTTTCTGTAAAACTTGGCGTAGTGGCTGATTGGTGAGCACTGCAACGATGTGAGCCTGAAAATAGGGCCAGAGCTTACATGCCAAGAGGACGAGAGCGTAGGCAAGTTTTTCTAGCTGCGGATACTGAAGCTTGGTGTCTTGTAGGGCATGGCTGGTATAGTAGATCGGGAGTTCAATACTGTTCGGTTTATGAATGAGTACGGAGTTGAGTGCCGTTGCCGAGATCGAAAGGTAGAGGACGAGGCTCTCTCCTAAGAGAAAGGTAGATAGCAGAGGTGCTTTGCTCATGTAAGTTTTAAGGTCTTGGAAAGCCCGATCGCATTCAGCAGTCTAGAAGATCTGTCGCTTACTCACTTTGAGGGCTTTAAAAAAGGGGGCACATCGGTCGATGGCTTTTGATGTGAATCGTGCTATGGCGGTGACGCGTCCAGTGAGAAACTGGATGTCGAGTAATGCCTTGATTTTTTCAAGGTTAGCCTCAATGCCTCGTTGGCTGATCATGAAGCCTAGAAATTTGCCAGAGGAAACGCCGAAGACACATTTGTTTGGATTGAGGAGAGTGTTATACTTCTTTAGGATGTCGAACATGAGGGAGAGGTTGTGTAGATGCCGATTGGCGGTCTTGCTTTTGACCAGTATGTCGTCCACATAAACTTCCATAGAAATGCCTATGAGTTCGGCGAAGATCTTGTTAACCAAACATTGATATGTCGCTCCCGTACTTTTTAGGCCGAACGACATGACATCGTAACAGTAGAGTCCTTTATCGGTAATGAATGTTGTATGTTCGCGGTCAGTAGGGTTAATGAAGATCTGATTGTAGCCTGAGTAGGCGTTCATGAAGCTTAGAAGCTCATGACCTGCTATGGCGTCCATTAGCTGATCGATGCTTGGCAGGGGGAAACTATCTTTTGAGCATGCTTTGTTCATATCGGTATAATTTGGCACATTCGCCAAGCGCCGTTTGATTTTTTACCAAGACCGAATTCGCTAGCCAGATCGAGTAGATGACTTCCCGGATGAAACCGATTGCCTGTAATTTGTCTACTTCGAGCCTCATTGCTTCATACTTTTCGGAATCGTAGGCCCATCGTTTCTACCCCATTGATTTAAAGTGAGGTAGATGCTAGGCTGGTTGTTGATGACACTAGGGAGATGCTGGTCATATCATTGTAAGACTAGGCGAAGACTTCTGCGTTCTGAAGGTAGTGCCAATCCTAACTTGCCGATCTGGTTGTGTTTCGAACAGGGCCACAGATTCCATGTCCTCAATGGGCTGAGCCTGTGGGTGATAGCCTCATCTCTGGGATCATCGGGTTGATCCGCCCCTCTGTCGTTTGGCACGGTCGTTGGGGTGGAAACTGAATATGATTCGCGAGGTGTAGCCTTTGTCGATTCTTTGGTCGCTGAAACGTAACACGTTTGTGCACTCAATTGGTCCCCTCGTACTTGGCCAACGCCAGCGTGTGTGGGGAATTTTAGGAGAAGCAGCATGTGTGGTGACAGTATGGCTTTCATTTTGGTAAGTGCTAGTCTGCCGATGATGACGTTGTATGTCGTCAGACAATCGACTACCAGGAAGTGGATGTAGATGACCGTTCGTCTTGGGCCGTGCCAATTGCAAATGGGAGTTGGACGCTTCCAATTGGCTCAACAACATCACCCGAGAAGCTCAAGAGATGGGTGATGTTTTTGTTGAGGTGTTGGGGTTCTACTCTGAGGGCGTTGAAGGCACCAGTGTCGATAAGGATTTGGCCTATGTCAAAATTCGCAACATTGGCTCAGATGATCATAGGATCGGAATAGGGAAAGATAATGCCATTCTCCTCTTCTTCAAAAGAGGTGATGGGTTCCCAGCCGATTCGTTGAATTTTTTCATTGCGTCCTCTAGCTATGCTGAGAATTTAAGGATGCCAAACGGCAAGCATGTATTTTTTAATAGTGCGGTTGTTGGTGTTGGCTATGGGCGCTCCTCCACTGATCATGTTGATATGCTGATTTGCTGGTTGCTCCAGGGTCGATTTTGTACTGAGGTACTGATCTAGTTTGCCTTCATTGATGAGGCGTTCGATGACTTTTCAAAGCGCGATGCATGACTCCGTATCCTGGTCATTGTATTGGTAGTATTGGCATAACACTCCGGTATCTTTATCGCTCTGGCGAGGGAGCTTTCGGTTGTTTAGTTTTGGAATCATCTGATTCTAGGCCATGAGGACGTATTCGTAAGTCGAGTTGAGCAAGGTAAAGACTTCCTCTAGTCGAGCATTCTTCGGACTTTTGAAGTTGTTTCGGACACAACGGGTGCCGTTCGGTAGGGGACTTGGTTTGTAGTTTGGTGAGGCGAAAAGCGATCATAGGTTGGCGCCGGGGCTTGACCCATGGGCGTCGTCGGGCAGGGGGATGCCGAAAGTGCTCCTTTGGAATTAAAATGCTTTGCTTTGGCATGGATGGCTACTTGCTTCATCCGTTCACCGTTTTTTTTTTTTTTTTTTTTTTTTTTTTTTTTTTTTTTTTTTTTTTTTTTTTTTTTTTTTTTTTTTTTTTTTTTTTTTTTTTTTTTTTTTTTTTTTTTTTTTTTTTTTTTTTTTTTTTTTTTTTTTTTTTTTTTTTTTTTTTTTTTTTTTTTTTTTTTTTTTTTTTTTTTTTTTTTTTTTTTTTTTTTTTTTTTTTTTTTTTTTTTTTTTTTTTTTTTTTTTTTTTTTTTTTTTTTTTTTTTTTTTTTTTTTTTTTTTTTTTTTTTTTTTTTTTTTTTTTTTTTTTTTTTTTTTTTTTTTTTTTTTTTTTTTTTTTTTTTTTTTTTTTTTTTTTTTTTTTTTTTTTTTTTTTTTTTTTTTTTTTTTTTTTTTTTTTTTTTTTTTTTTTTTTTTTCTTCATTCCAATGAGGTAGTTTAGAGCCATGATTCTTTCCCTCTTCTCGGAAGGGAGGGTTTGGATATTGCAGATAACTAATTGTAGGCAATCTCCAATCCTCCTCAATCATTATATGGAAAAATTGACATCTATCTCCATTCCCTTAGTCAAAACATATGGTAGACTTTTCTTCCCCACTTTGATGATTCTCTGTACACAATCTTCAGGTATTTGCACTCATGCTGCTATTTGAGTCATTTCATTGGCTGCGAAATTTTCTTCCCTTAGAATATGTTCCTAAGTGGCCTCCTGAATTTTGCCCCAAAGATTTCTGGCTGCCACCAAATAAATAGCTAAGGAAGGATTCAAACCCTTGTATTCCCTAGCAATCTACTTTAGAACAAGCATGTAATCTCGCAATATTTCCACAAACTGGATTCCTAGTTCTACCAACATCTCAAGACCAATGATCAAAGCTTCATACTCTACTCTGTTGTTGGTGCATTGGAAATCCAGCTGGAATGAATAACAGTGTTAGATTCCCAATGGATCTTCTAACACAATTCCTGCTCCAGAAGTCATGTTGGTTTTAGATCCATCAAAATACAACTTCTAAGGGGTGAGATGGACTTAGTATATGGGATTATTGAGACATATGTGAGCTCTGCTCAGCCGATCTGTATTGGCTATATCCATGGAGTTCACGTTCTCAATCTCTTCCCTTGGATGATCTACCAAGAAGTCGGCAACAGCCTGTCCCTTGGTAGCCTTTTGAGGTCCATTTACCAATTCTGCCTTCAACATTGGCCTCGTTAGCATGTATTTAATCAAATTTGTGTTGGCAATGATGTAGATGGTAAAGGGTAACATGTAATGTCGGAGTTTTATAGCAGTGAAGTACAAAGCCAAACATAGCCTTTCAACAGTAGAATAATTTCTTTATACTTCTGTCAGAGTTCTACTTAGGTAGCAGACTACCTCTTCCTTCCCTTCCTTGTTATCTTGAACCAAAAGGCTCCCAATAGATACTTATGATGTAGAGACATACAGTTTGAGTGGTCTGCCCCTTTTTGGTAGAGGGAGAACTGGCGAATTTGAAAGATAATACTTGATTTCTTCAAAAGCCTGATGGTGCTGTTCTTCCCATCTAAACACATGTTTTTGTTTCAAACTTAGCAAGGAAGAGAAAGGCTGGATTTCCCCTACATAATTGGATATGAACCTTCTGAAAAAGTTGATCTTCCCCAAGAGACTTTGCAATTCTTTCTTGTTCCGAGGTGACAAAGCTTCTATGATAGATTTGGCTTTGTTTTTGTCAATTTCTATACCTCTTTGAGGGACCAGGAACCCTAGGAAATTGCCAGCTTGAACCCTGAAAACGCACTTCATAGGATTCATCTTCAACTTGTGTTGTCTCATTCTTAGAAAAGCTTTCTTCAAATTGGATACATGATTTCCTTTTTCTGGAGACTTAATCACTACATCATCTATGTATACTTCTAGGGAATGGCCTGCCATGTCGTGGAAAATAGAATTCATTGCCCTTTGATAGGTGGCCCTTGCATTTTTCAAGTCAAAAGGCATTACAACATATTCAAATGCGCCTATATGTCCTGGACACATGAAAACACTCTTGTGGATGTCTTCATTTGCTACCATTATCTGATTATATCCTGCGTTGCCACCCATGAATGATAACATTTGGTTATGAGCAACTATGTCTACCAACATAGCTGTCATTGGCATGAGATACTCATATTTGGGAGATGCCTTATTCAGGTTCCTGTAATCTACATAGACTCTTACTGCTCCTGTTTTTCTCTTAAGATCTAGCGCAATGTTAGATAGCCAATCAACAAAAATAGCTGGTCTAATGAAGCCTGCTTTAACTAGTCTCTCTATTTCCTCTTTAACTTTCAATTCTGTCTCCATGGACATCCATCTTCTGGCTTGCTTGACTGGTAGGTATCCTTCTTTTATTGGCAATTTGTGCTTTACTAATCCTCTGTCCAATCTAGGCATTTCATGGAAATGTCATGCGAAACAATCTCTGAAATCATGTAGAAGTGCAACGATTTCACCCTTCAATGGTTCCTCTAGCAAAGCACTGATAAAAGTAGGCCTGGGATCATCTTCCGTGCTCAAGTTTATTTCCTGCAAAGGGTCCTCTACTTTCGGCAATGAGTCATCCAATGCTGCTGGTGCAGACTCCAATTCCTCATCATGTAGACTTTCTTCTTGTTCTTCTGCACTTGCGTGCATGAATTCTGCCATATTAACGATTGAATTCTGCATAGATAGCCTCATTTCATCCTAATATGCCAACAATCTATTCGTATTGGATCGGATTGTTGCAACTCGATCATTCTTTTGTTGGTTTGAGCTAAACATCAGGATTTCGGAGGTTTAGGACAAAAGGCCTATTCTAGTCCTCTAGAGAACTGGCCAGACCTTATTCAATGAGCCTCTGGGTCGTGACACCATGGCGGCAACCGTTCTGATTGACTCCAAAGAAAGTAAAAGATCCAAGATCATCATGATAATACCTAGCCTCGAAACATAATGCAGATGGTAGAAATGGTAGTGGATCGGCCTCTACTATCTCCATAAAACCCTCTTCATACCAGAAGGCCAACTGTTGGTGTACAGTGGAAGGAACACAAAAGATTTAGTGGATCCAGTTCCTGCCAAGCAATGCATTGTAAGTGATAAAAGTGGTGTCTACCACAAAGAAATCAATCTTCAGCTTTTTAGTTTCTATTATGACATCTACATCAAGTATCCCAGGGGTTTTAGTGATGCCCCCAACAAAATTGGTGACTGTAAGACGTGTTGGGATTAGGTCTTTTTCTGTTCTGCCCGTATTAACCAAGAGTCTGTGAGGTAGTAGATTGATGGTTGCACCTCTATCCACCATTACTTTAGGGATAAGAATCCCATCAAAGTTTGCAATGATAAACAGGGGTCTTAGATGATTGGCCATCTCCTTGGTAGGCACCGTTTTGCTGTTCTAGAACTTCTTCTACTTATGCATTCAAAACTTTCTTGGGATAGTACATCCCCTTCCATGGTGCTTTCTTGTCCTTCTGCTGCTCTAAATTCCTCTAATAAGATAAACACCATGTTTATGCCCAAATCACCATGTAACAAACTTTCCAGTTCTGCACCGAAAGCTTGAGTTTCTTCAATTAGTTTTCCATCGTATTCCACCTGTTCTTCTCCATATTCCTCTATTCAGTCTTCTTGCTCATCTGTTTCAAGAAGTCCATCTGGTCGTTTGCAGACAGTTCATAATCGACCTACTCTTCCTCGTATTCTTCAGTCTAGTCCTCTTGGTCACCTACTGGAAGAGGTCCAGACTGACCTTGTAATTGTGAAAACTCCAACTGATTATTCGAAGATGAACCTTAGTGGATGGAGAATTTATTTGGAAATCCTGCTTATGTCAGCTCCTCCTGTTGGTACACTGCCTGCTCTGCTTGAAAATCCTCTTCTGAATCATTCTCAATTCTGGCAGAATTGATCTCTGCAAACACTAGTGTGTTGTCCCTATTCTTGAGGAAAGTGTAGTATTGCCTCTGGATTCTCCTTATCTGTGTTTTGGTCAGCTCTAAAGTTGGTCTGCCGTTCTTTCCAACAGAATACCATTTGCCTTCTATGATAGTTGCCAATGGCCTATCATTCCCAGTATTTTGATTGGTATTTCCTTATTTGGTTGCTCAGTCACCTTTCTAATGTGTTAGGCAGGCCTTTGATATGATAGGATTTCTGTCTGACTGTGTCCCTGCATGGAGCCAGAACTGAGGTCTGCCGGCATGACGCTCCAATTCTGTCAAAAACACTCATTGTGCGTCGTTTCTGTTCATCCAAAGCTATCTCTAGCTGAAATAAGATTTTTTGGCTTTCGATTCACCTCTTTTGTGACTCTCCTACCAATGTTAAGGTTAACTTACACTGTCAGTTTGCCTTTCTCCTGTTCTAGCTAGTTTAAATTGACCATGTTCACTTGTGGTTGAGGAAAAGTGTATGTTGTCACTTTTGTTGGGGTGGGGGGGGGGGGGGGGGGGGGGGGGGGGGGGGGGGGCTCAGCTTGAGCATTCCTATTGTTATCCTTTCCTGTATGATGTCTCTGAAAACAACACAGCTATTGGTGGAGTGATTACAAGAGTTACACCATTTGCAATATTGTCTGCCCTTGAGTTCTTCTGACTTAGGCAACTTGTGAGGCATTTCTATCCCCTTTTGTAGGAGCATTTCATCAAACAAAGCATCAACTTTGGTTAAATCAAAAGAATAGACCTTGTTCTATGCTAGTTTGTTTGGGACAAACCCTCCGTAAATGGCAGTGGCTTTTGATCCTTTGGTTGCTTTATCAAAGCCTTGCAGCTGATAGGGTGCTTTAGTTTTTCCATTTCTGCTACTGCTACCTCCATTTCATTTGAACTTTCTTGGCCTTCTTCTTATTTGAATTCAACTGAATGGACTAAGGAAGATAGTGTCTTGTAGTACGTGCCTTTGGAAGACTTTTTCTTATGTTGCTCTTCCTTTAGCAGTTCTTCATACTTGGTGGCCTTGTCTGCCAGTTTTGCCAAATCTCCAAACATCATTCTATCGAATCTCTTTCTCAGAGAAATCTTGAGGGCGGTCTAGGCCATTTGGATGAAATGCCTTTCTTCCATGTGGATTCTGCACTTCATTTTGAGCTTCCTAAACCTAGTGATGAAATCCTGGGCAAGTTCATCTTCACTCTATTTAAGAGTAGCAACGTCACTGATGGTGACTTCTGACTGAATTTGAAATAGTAGTCATGGAAAACGTTCTCCATTTGCTCCCATGTCTAGATGGAATGGTTGGTAAATTGGTATACTGGGTAAGAGCTTGTCAAGACAGGGAATTCCCAAAAAACCTAAGCTTGAGTAAGGGATTATATCTATAGCCATGCACTGGACAGAGAATCTGCCTATGTGTTCGACTGATGACGCATAAGCGTCTTCTCCATTAGTACTTTAAAACCTAGGGATAGAGGCATCTGATTAATATAAGTTGGATATGGCTTCCTATAAGTGGGCCTTTCTCCTCTTCTGGCTTTAGGATCCATCATTTCTCTGATCATTCTTTGCAGTGCCTCTATGTCATTCAAGGCGTTAATATGAGGTAAGTTTCGTCCCAATTCTGGCTGATTGTGTTTAGCCCTCTGTTCCATTCTGTATGGTCTGGGTATGACCTCTTCCCTATGCTCCTCTTCATCTTCGAAATTTGGATAATTTCTCCAGTTTGCCCCTAGCCTATTCCTGTCATTGTTGGCAAAAGGGTTCATTCCCCCTCTACCTGTTGTTAGAGGAGGAAATGGATTGGGATCCATCATTCTAGGTATGTAAGGCAATACGGCTGGCCGTTCAGGTAGATGTGCCACTGGCTAGTTACGTGGAACCTCTGGCTGTGGAACAGGTGGAAGTTCTGGCTGGTTATGGGGGGCCTGAACTGGTGCTGGGCCTAGTGTAAGAACTGGAGCTTCCTGCTCTTGGATGGCAAAGACTCCTCCCTTTTTTCTAGCCTGGATCTCTGTTGGTTTCCGGTATTCTAGCTATCTGTGCAATAAATGGATTTTCCTGGTATGGCCATGCCAATCTTGGTGGAGGTCTAAAAGGGAGTTCCAGCTGTTGGACTACATCATATGGATTTGGATTTCTTGCATCAACAGCCTTACGATCCTTTCTGAATTGCCTGTTAACCTACCATTACATCATGGTTGTCATGTTGTTCACACTGTTGGACTACAGCATATGGATTTGGATTTCTTGCATCAACAGCCTTACGGTCCTTTCTGAACTGCCTGTTAACCTACCATTACATCATGGTTGTCATGTTGTTCACAGTGTCCTGACTTCTTTGTCAAAGCACGGCATCCTGTATCTAGTTCATCCTTTTGGAGCCGGATTGGGAACGTCTACTCCTGGTACTGCCTTGAGTTGAATGCCTAGCATCACTCTCCTCTAATTCATCTTTTTCTTCTCGGAAAGCTGGTTGATCTCTTTCCATGGCAAAGTGTGGATTCTTGCAAGGACTTCCAATATTCATTCACTAAAAGAAGCTCTTTAGGAGTACGCATACTGAGAAGTTGCACTGGGCATGCCAAATTGTTCACACGTTTAGACCTAGTCCTGTGATGGTAGCATAAAGTTCCCTATTAGCTTGAAAACAATTGGTGGTCAACAAGTCACATTTCTTTGGTGTGTGAGTATGCCACTGCTAGCAGTTTTAAAAACCCTAATAGACTTATGAAAAATAGATAACTTGTGCCCCAAGTTACTGACTTTAAACAAGTGATTATGAATTTGGGTGAGGAATATCTCCCAAGTAAATTCTTTTCTTGCCTCAGACTGGTGAGGACTTCACAATTTATCACATTAAACTAGTAGTTCTGGCCAAAATGAATATTGAAAAACAAATCAAAATGTTCTAAGAAAACTTCCTATTACACAACTTTCAAGACAAAAGGGGACTGCCATGTCTGAAGGGACAACAGAATATTGGGCTTCGATTTCTGCTTGGATTGTTGCCTGTAACTCAGGTTGGACTGGGTGTATCTATGCTGGATTCAAACGTAGCACCTTCAGCTGATGAGGCTCAGCTGGAAATCGATACCAATGTTGAGATTGGCAGAGCTTTAATCTATCCTAGACATGGAGAAGCTTGCTAGATGGGCAGAATGGAGATTTCTTTAGTCTGGACAAGATTGGAAGTGGCTGGATTGATGATTGCTAGCCTGGAGCTTCACCACAGTACCTGTTTTACTTGATTATGAATCATCCAAAAGCTATTCTGGCAATCCTGAGAGATCGAGGCATTTCTATGAATTTGTTAAGGTTTTCATATTATGGCAAACCCGAATTCTGCTTGATTTGACTTACACTGAATCAAATTTGTAACGAGAGAAATCTCATTTCCTTCATAAACTGTTTCTTTAAATTGAACTGAAGTCAGAAGCCTAAGTTCTGGCTTATCTGTCTTTTGTCAATCAAAGAGGTTGGTTGCTTCAAAGTACGAAGACTTTTGAGATTGACTGATCTTGTTTTGAATTTGTTAGTATGACTTTGAGAGTTTTTGTTTTGTTTGAATTTTTTGGCTGCCTCCAACGCTGTTCACCTCCTCTTATATTTATACAGAATCTGAATGTGGGTTTAATCTTTAATATTTGAAGGGGAGATCTTTCGAAAGGATTTTCTTTTCGTAATGCAAGAAAAGGGGGAGTTATTATTATGACAAAAACAACAGACTTATTAACTGTCAGTTTCTATGATGGTCCATTTGCTTTTCCGACGAAAAACTTCCTTGTCTCCTATTTATTTTTTGTAAACACAACTTGTCTGATGCAGCCCCCCAATGAGTATAGGAAGGAAACTTGCTCTTCCTTTTCTAGCATTAAATGGTTATGGGGAAGTGGTTTTCCAATTAACCCTTTTACCAGCTCCCCATCACATCCTCTGCCCAGTCGAAAATTTTGACTTTTTTGATGTCTCATGGGCTTTCTTCTAAGAGAAAAGATCTTTCAAAAAGATCTGCTGATTTAGAACTCTAGAATTGAGATCAACGGTGACGATCAAAAATTTTGGGCTTTTGAAGAGTTTAGAAGTTAGGCCTAATCCTGAAATCAATTAGAAACTTATTTTGTTCATATTAAATCACCATTTAATGACAATTAATCTTTAATTTGTGAATTTTATCGTTGCTAATTGGTTTTACAAAGGTATAGGCATCTAAAAACCATTTTGGGCTGATTTCTAACTTTTAAACAAGGCCCAAACTCCAGCTTTTTGACATGGACCAATGGCAATTTGGCTGGCACGTGGAATTTAGGCCCAAACATGTATGGGCCAATTAGTAGTATAACAAGACAAGTACGAGGTCGTACCCATGACGACCGAGAAGTTCAGATTAATTTTGTACCTAGATTGCCCAATTCTAGAAACTAGAAGTTAAGGCTAAAACAGATTTTAAAGTGAGATTGAGTTTGGAAACAAATGAAGCAAAATGAAATTGGAATTTGAAGTGAGAGGGGTTGTGATTGTAAAAACAAATGGACAAAATGAAATTGCAAACGAAAGCAAGTAAATAAGTGTAACAAAGAGTGGTCTTAAGGGTTGGAAAACATATTTGGAGGCTAGAGCATTTGATTCACCATAACAATCCAATTCTAGTTTATAAGGATTCAAGTGACAAGTCTAATTCAGATTCAAAGATTGATTCTAGCTAAAGTATGATTAAGCCATGGTGCCTGGTCCTAACCTTGTATTCCTAATTCCATAATTAGATTCTTGTTGTCAAACCTAAATTAAGTATTATAAATCCATTAAACATAGAAGAATGTTTTAAACAACCAAGCATGTATCTAATCTCTGTTGTCAAATGACCATACATACTCTTCCTATTCATAGTTCAATTAGAATTAAGGCATATGGTGTCTACTCTTAATTCCAACCAAGATACACAAATCTGAATGGTAGTTAGGCATTCCGATTAGCAAATAGGCAGGTAGGCATAATGAATAAGGACATGATCATGAATCAAACTTGAAACTTGAAATTTATAAACCTAGAATGTTCATGTTAGGTTACATCGAAGCCCTAGATATGGATTTAGCTACTCATAATGGGAAAGAAACTTAAACATAAATGAGAAAACAGGCCCAAAACTCGCCAGCTAGGATAGGAATGTCTTGAAAATTACATTGGTGACCTCATAACTAAAACATGTTTTGCAGTCATGATTTCTATTTGAGAAATCAAATATTCCAAACGAAGCAAGCTTTGTTCACCTCTTCGAACTAAGCGCAGTATGATCTGGTTCCAGATCTCCATTTTCGATTCTTCTGAGCTTGATTTTTGGTGTGAGGTGTAGATTGGAGTTCTATTGCCCTTTTTCTTTTTCTTTTTTCTTTTTTTTTCCTTCTTCTTCTTGTTTGAATTGGTGATTTTTGGAGTGGTGTTGTGCTGCATGAGATTCAATTGGAGCTTTGTGCGATCTGCAATCTTTGATTTGAGGTATTCAGTTTTTTCTTGTGAATTCATATTCAATTTTATTATAGTCTAATTTTTGGTGATTTAATGTTCAATTAATTAAGTTGTTGATTAGGTTTTTGTAATTTTTGCTGTTTTGGAGTTTAAATTTGAAATGCATATCCAATTCTTCTCGATTTTATCTGTTTATTTTTGTTATTATTGATTTGGAGGTAAGCTATTGGATTTTTCTGATTTCATTCTAATTTGTATTTACATATTCGTTTGAGTTTTACATTGTGATTTTAATTTCTTTTTGTTTATAATTTGGATTGATTTCAGATTCGGTTTGATAGTGGATTTGCTCTTGTGTTTTGGTTTGAGTTGTGGTTACAAATTTGTGATATTCGATTTGGTTTTCGTATTAATTGAGGTATGCTTTTTCAATTAAATCTGAGCATATTTGTGTTTTTTCTATTTATGCACTATTGGTTTTTTAGTTTTTGAGTCAACTATAATTCGTGTTAAGTAGCAGTGTTACTATCCTATACTGGAACTTTATAGTGGGTAGACATGCATTAGAAATAGGATTTCATAGGAAACAAGCAGTGTTATTAACTTATTACCATATACTGGAACTTTACAGTGGTAGACATGCATTAGAAATAAGATTTTATAAAAAACTAGTAGTGTTATGACCATATACTGGAACTTTACAGGCGGTAGACATGCATTAGAAATAGAATTTCAGAGGAATCCAGCAGTGTTATTACCATAGACTGAAACTTTACAATGGTAGACATGCATTAGAAATAGGATTTCTTATGAAACAAGCAGTGTTATTACCCAATGGTAGACATGCATTCAAAATAGGATTTCATAGGAAACAAGTAGTGTTATTACCCTATACTAGAATTTTACATCCATTAATCAACATGACAGTAAACTAGATGTGTTAAGAATGGGTATATGACTATATTTTTTTTTTTTTTTTTTTTTTTTTTTTTTTTTGTTGCTGAAACCGAAAACCATTTTATAGTCCTTTGCAGTCAGTCCAACAGTGAAAATCCAATATAGTTTCAAGATTTTGTCCTGGATTCAAATCTAAAATATTGTTATTATCCTAGATTGGAACTTTACAATGGCAGATATGCATTAGAAATAGGATTTAATAGGAAACTAGGTGTGTTAATACCCTAAACTAAAACTTTACAGTGGTAGACATAAATTAGAAATATGATTCCATAGGAAACAAGCAGTGTTATTACCCTACACTAGAACTTTATAGTCATTAATTAACATGACAGTAAACTAGTAGTGTTAAGAATATGTATATTTCTAAATATCTCTTTCTTTTTTGAGTTGCTGAAAACTGACTATTTTATAGTCCTATGCAGTCAATCCAATATAGTTTCAAGATTTTGTCCTGGATTTGAATCTAAAATACAGTTATTACCCTAGATTGAAATTTTACAACAATTAATCAACATTACAGTAAAGGTTTGGTTTTTAAATGTCTTACCTTTGAAGCCTTTTCTTGTTTAAATTGTTCTCTGAAATTTTATCTTGGTTTTGTAGGTGGAGGTTAGTGTGTGGTGTTGGTTTTTGAAAGTAGATCAAGCTTGGTGGTGGTTATGGAGTTTCAATTTGCATAGATGATGAAGATGCGTTGATGAAGACGGTGAAATGAAGAGACGTTTTGCAGAGATGGTTTAATGAAGATGTGTGCTTGAAGTTACGGTTTTCGATATAGTTTTGGGTTGTAATAAAATGTTTGGGCTTTTTGTAACTCCAAAAAAAAAAATGTTTGGGCTTTTTGTAACTCCAAAAAAAAAAATGTTTGGGCTTTTTTTATAAAATTAGGCTGGGCGTGTTTTGGGTGCTTTTTGAGTTTTTTTCTGTTGGGCTAGATCAGTGGCAGTCCTGTAATTTATAGAAACTTCAACACCAATTTCTTATATAGTAAATGGATTTTGAGTGTGTTTCTAAAGTGCATTCCATATGGGTTTTTTTTATTTTTTTATTTTTTTATTTTTATTTTAATTTCATCCTCTATTTTGAGTATATTAGTGAAACTCCCTTTAATAAAATCTATAAACAACACTCAAGAATTATGAATTAAGGTGATTTAGCATGAAATTTATGGTCACCTTTGGTCAATCCTAGGCACCTATATACATAGGTTGCACGTATTTCAACACTCAGTATATAGTATATAGAATTAAATACATTCATAACAAAGTGAAACTCAAATTATTATGACAGCCTTATAACACATGAGTAAATCATGGATAATAGAACTTGTTAATTTGGCTCATTGATATCCCCGCAACAAATGGTCTTACCTGATAAATTTGGTTGGTTTATTCTGACACTACCAAATATCAAATTATGAAAATGGAAATTGTACACAGACATATTAGTATCGATATCATTGCTGCTGAAGGCGATAAGTAGGAACTGCCAATAGATGCTTAGCCCTAGGAACTGTTAGACCAAACTCCTCCGTCATGTCCAACTCAGACGGCAACATATTATTTGGAAGCTCCCAATCAAAACAATGAACAAGTTGTGCCACCACAAGCTGGACCATAGTTATCCCTAATTGCATTCCGGGGCAACCTCTCCTGCCAGACCCAAATGGAATAAATTGAAAGTCACGTCCCCGAAAATCGATATTGCTACCGTCGAACCTTTCGGGTAT